ATAAATGGAAAATAATAATATAAACCCCTTTTAATCATTATAAATGCTTAATTATGTTATTCGGATTTACAAATACATTAGTAACATTTTAAGGAATAATTGAAACTATATTATGGAAATTTTTAAAAAAAAACGGTTTTTATTTACTTAAATAATATCTTAATTTTTTCTAAAACTTTTAACTAATATAAAAAATATATAAACAAAATATTAAAAACCTTAAATAAGATTAACCTACTAATAAACCTAAAGAAAAGCAAATTTTATATATAAAAAATTAATTATTTAAAATATATTATTATATTTGGACAAATTAAAATATAAAACTTAAAAATCGTAATAATATAAAACTAGCTAATATTAAATAACATTATTATTATACAACAATTCCACAGTTTTACCAATTATAATAAATAATTAATAAAAAACTTTAATAAAATTATAAATTTTATTATGGTTATTATATAAAGAAAAGAAAAAACCTTTTAATAGACGTTAAAAATAAATAAGGTTTTTAAGGAAATATAAAAGGCTATTACCAGCAACCCAATAATAAAATTACTTAAGTTAAATTAGTTAAAACAAATTTATATTAACAGATTTAATATAATTATAAGCGCAGTTTTAGAACAGCTCGAAAACGATAAGATATAGTATTTAATGGCATATTTATCTAAGATCTTTAAGGGCATTTAGACAAGATATTAAACTTACGATAAAGAATTACTTACTATTGTTACAGCATTTAAAGAATGGAAATATTAGTTCAGCGGAACTAAAGAACTAATTATAATATTATTTAATTATAATAACTTTAGAACGCTAATAATTATTTAGAAATTAAAACTTAAAATCTAAAAATAGGTAAAATATCTTAATAATTTTAACTTTAAAATAGTTTATGTTACAGGAAAAGTTAATATATAAGTTAATGCACTTAACAAACCTCATAGCGTTAATATAAAAAATATAATAAAAGAAAAAGTAGTACTTATATTAAATAAACAAGGGGTACTTATTTTATTAATATTATATTTAATAAAAAAGGATAATATATAAATAACCCATATTAAAAAAGCATTACTTACGGAAGAACTACCAATAAATATTAAAATAAGAAAAAGAATAATCACATACTTAAGTAAAGTATATATATTAAAGGCTTTATAATATGAATTTGTTAAAAAATACCACGAACATCTGTTACACGGACATTAAAGAATTTTTTAAATTATGTAATAAATCATAAGAAATTATAACTTCTTAAATTTACTTAAAATAATTAAAAAAATAATTAATAATTGTAATATGTGCAATAAAATTAAAATAATTAAATATAAGCTATACGGGCTTACGTAACTTACGGAAATTTTAAATAAAACCTGGAAAATTATCGCATAAAATTTTATTATTAAATTATTATTATTAAAAGAACTTATAATTAATATATTATATAATAGTATATGGGTAATAGTTAATAAATTAATAAAATATAGATATTTTATATTATATAAAAAATTTAACACAATTGAAAATTTAGTTTATATATTTTTTAAATATATAATTAATAAATATAAATTATTAAAATATATTATCTTAAATAAAAATAAATTATTTATATTTAAGTTTTGGATTAATTTAATAGTTAAAATAAGTATAAAATAAAAACTGTTAATAATATATTATTTATAATTAAATAAATAAACGAAGCGTTTAAACTAGATATTAAAATAGTATTTTCGTATATATATTAATAAAATATAAAATAATTAAGTAAAATTATTATTACAAATAAAAATTATATATAATAATTTTATAAATAAAAATATAAAAATATTTTTATTTAAAGTAAATATTAGTTACGATTTTATTATTATAAAGTTAATTAATATAAAAGAAATATTTGTACTTAAGGCAAAAGTTATAACAAAATAAATTATTATTATATAAAGATATTTAATAGATAAATTTAAGTTTTTATAAATTAAAATAAAAAAATATAATAATTAATATAAAATTAAGGGATTAATTTTTAAAAGGGGAAATAAAGTTTATTTATTATAATAAAATATTAAAATTAAAAGATTAAATAATAAATTAAATTATAAGAAACTTAGATCTTTTAAAATTGAAAAAGTTATTTTAAAAATTAATTATAAATTATTATTATTAATAAAAATAAAGTTATATTTAGTTTTTTATATTTCTTTATTAAAAAAAGTATTTAAAAAAGTATTTATATAAATTATTTTAAATATTAAAATTAATTAAGAATATAAAATTAAAAAAGTATTAGATTTTAAATAATTTAAAAATTAAATTAAATATTTGATTAAATAAAAGGATTATTTATTAAAAATATATATATAAGAATTAATTAAATATTTTAAGAATGTTTAAGAGTTTATTAAGGTATTTTATTAAAATTCTTTTAATTATTTATAAATATTAATAGATTTAAATTTAAGTTAAAATTATTTTAAAAAGCGGCTTTATTAGGATTATCTTTAGAAGAATTAAAAGGCAAAACCGGATTAATTTAATTAAAAATATTTTGATCCTTATTTTCCTCTTTTTCTTTTAAATATTTAATTTTTTTATAATATATAATTTCGATAATTTTAATTTTTAAAGTTTCTTTTTAAAAATAAAATTAATTAAATTATTTAATATATGTAAATATATTATTTTAACGCTTTTTAATTAAGGTTTGATATTAATGAATTTTAATAAGATAAGTTTTAATTTCCTTATTAAATTTAAGTAACTTTTTTTTTAGTTTTATAACGTTTTTTTTACAGTTGAAAAAATTCTAATAAAATATTATTTAAAAAATTTATTTTTATTATATTATAATTTAAATAATTATTATCTTTAATGTAATAATAATAAGTAAAGAAGTTTTTGATTAAGAAATAAAATGTTTTATTAATATAAAGGTAGTAGGAATATAAAAGACCATAGAAGCTGAAAATTTCGATAAAGGAAGTACGAACTTTATGGATGGTTTTTTAATTAAGTTTACGTTTAACTTTTACAATAAATTTAATAATATGTTTTGATATTATAATATATAAATTAATATTTAAGAAAATGAAGGAAAATAAGAAAATAAAGGATTTATTAGGATTTTTAAAGGTAAAAAAATTGGGAAAAAAAAGAATGGTGTTATAAACTAACGGGCTAATAAAGTTATATTAAATATGGAAACGGGGGATAATTAATAACGTTTTCGGTTAAACTTTAGATAATTGGATTTTATAAATTTTATAAATTTTAAGATTTTATAAGATTTATAAGATTTTTAAGAATTATAAAAATTATAAGATCTTAAATGAAAATAATATATAAATAAGGAAATTTATAAGATATTTAAATTATTATATATTTAATTATTTATTTACGTTTTTTTAATTATTAATTTAAATTTTATATTTAATTTATATAAAAGGAAAAACTTTAAGCTTTTTTAGTAAATATTTATAATATTTTATTAATATTTAACTTATATTATTACTATTTACTTAAAATTAAAACCTTAATTATTATACTTTAATAAACTTAAGTGTAAATTCGTTATAACATATTATTAAATTAAATGCGTAAATATTTTTTATTTAAATTTTTTATATTAAAAAATAATTAATATTTTATTATAAAAATATAATAATAAATATATTAAAATTAATTAAAACTTTAATTTAATTATTATATAAATTATTAATAAATGTTTCATAAAAATTTTATAATATATTAAATATAATTTACACTTATAATTAATATTATAATTTTATATATATTATAAAAAAAACTTTTTTTTATATTTTATAAATTTTTTACATATATAATAAAATTTATAATAATTATTTTTATTTATTAATAAATGTTTTAAATATTTTAAATAAAATTATAAAAATTATATATTATTTATTATATAAAGTTATTTTATTAAAAAATAAATTACGTATTTTTTTAAATATTATAAAATTAAAAATAAATAATTATAAAAAAACTTTATAATTTTTTAACAAAAATAATAATATTAAAAATAATTAAATAATAATTAAAAATATAAATTATAATTTAAAAATATATTAAACTATAATAATTTTAATTAAAAAAGTATAAAATCGTGGACCATTAACTAATATAATATATTATCATATAATATAATAATATAATACGTATAAGCTTGCTCCTTACTTTCTACTTAGGTATGCACGTACATACTGTAAAACTACATAGTACCTAAGTAGTCCCAGAAGGAACAACGTTATCCTCGTTTCTCACGAGTCGTTTCGGCGTTTCGCATTGTTTCGGCGGGGCCAGTTGCGCACTACGGCACGCGATGGCATGTACTGTGTACCTCTAATGTAAATAGAAAATATCGCGACTAGAAACTGGAGCATATCGATTAGGTCTATCAATAATCATTCTTCTACAAAAGAGATCGGAAGGCATATGTGTCATATCGTGCCGTTTATAGAAGCTGGAAACAATCCGTCAAACTATGCACCAAACATCGGCGACTTTTATGTTATCCTCCACGCCCAAAATAAATTGCACGCTTCATATTCATACTAAGCCGCTCCTGCGGCCGGGTTGATCGTTGACGATGGAGAATTCCTATGTCGAATGTAACGGTTCGGGTTTCAAATCTAACAATCCTTGAAAAGGGGCCGTGGTCCACATACGCCTTGGGGGATTCAGCCTTGCGCTTCTATCCAATCAATGGCATCGCCTTTCGTTATCTGATGGGACCAATCGAAGAACCTCGAACATAACCCTGCAAGGTCCATGTTTGAGGATCATGAAGACTATTCCGCTATTGCGGAAGGCCAAGGTTCAAGGAGATGGGTGCTATGATGGGCCGAGAGCAAGCCTTCCTTCACCCTCGTCTCGTCTACAACCGCATGCTAGTCACTAGCCACTAGCCACTCCTCTACTTTCTACCTCCAGTCCCTTCACGTCCTGTTTCTCACTCTCATTCCGTGTCTTCACGCCATCACGCCAATTATCACCAGTGTCGACCGTTATGGCGTTGTAGTACACTCGTCCGCGTCAACTAACCAGCGTCAATATGCATCATTCGCTTCGTGATTAATATTTTATAATACCTTTGAAAGACCCATTGAGTGGGTTATTCGTACTCTCTCTCTCTCTCTCTCTCTCTCTTTAAAAGCGAATTTTTACTTACCTACGCGCCGTCGAATTCATGGCGACACCAGGAACAACACCAGCCTTATTGGCTGCATTTTTTTTCGGTATTTTGTTTAACGCGGCGTCTGCTGGTTTGGTTTTATATGCTGTAGGCCATGGCTCAGCAATCTTTCGGGACGGCCTGAGGCTGGTCCTCACACTGTTCCTGACTTCTTCCGCCGCCTGGGCTCTGGTCGAATTTTTGGCTACCATTATCGAGCCGACTGCGGCGTCCACGTGCCAGGTTGCGGTTGTGTTTTCGTCGATCTTCGATCAGATGGGAAGGGTGTTTGCCGGGCAATACTTGGTTTGGGCAGCGCGAGCGGAAAAGAAATCAATTCCGAATATAGTATCGCAAGTCCTCATTCTCGTTCGGTTCGGTGTTGGCATGGCATTTATTGGACTGGCACGAAGCGAGTTCAACCCCACATGCGTGCCCGTTTCTAGCGTTCCGCCTATTGCTATTATCATTATCGTACTAGATGCCATCATTCTTTCTCTTGTGGCTGTTCAAATCTTATCGAGTACATCATTGAATGTTGTCTCCAATGATCAACACGCCCCCGTCGGGAAGAAAAGCGTTACCTCGGTCACAATTGGGTTCGCGATTTGGATAGGGGTCAGTCCAGTTACGTCACTACATCTACTCGTGTACTAATTATCTGCAGACGAGCGTAGTCCTTCTACTAGGCGCGAGGACTACGGATTTGGTACTCAGGACGACATTGCCTGCCGTTGGTCTAGCAATCTTAGTCGGTATGTATCGTAACGTCCTTTTTTTGTCGAATTGCTGACAATTCGAAGCATTAGTTACCGTACTCTCAGGATCACTTGTTGTCCCTCGTGGTCCGCCCTTACGACGACTAGATTCTCCAACTACCCGAGACGTTGGTAGGGATCGGTATTTGCCGTCCTCAGATTCCGCAGACTATCCCCCGTCTCGATACGAGGATGTTAAAGGCATAAATACAACTGTTATGGCAACATACATCTCTCGAAATGATGTTTCTGGAATTAGTGGACTTGGTAACTCGAAGAAAAATATTAAGGAGAAGGCCTGGAGTAAGGCCACAGGGGGCAAGCTCATAATTTCGAAGCCGGTTCTTATATCACAAGAAGGCATGGAAAATCCTCTTGACAGGATACCGACAGTCGATCTTGCTACGGCCGCTAATAATGAAAAAGAGCGGCGGGGAAAGCTACTGCAGCGTGAGCCAACTCTTATTGCATCGCGACCAGCCCCTCAGCCGCCTAGCGCTTCGGAACGAGGCGAGTTGCTTGCTAGGGAACGAAGTCTAAAACGTAAGGAGGTCCAATCATCGTCTTTAGCGCAGCTGGAGAGGACTACCTCGACCAAGACGTCTGAGACATCGGCGGGACTGTCTGTCGAGGCAAATGCGTCTTCTACTTCTTCGGAATTATCTCCTGGGACTGAACAGGTAAGGCGGAGATCCCCGAGGTATCCCCAAGAACCGTCAATGCCAACAACCTTCCAACCAATTCGACCTGGCGAGCCGATTCGTATACCTATTCCACGGCCCCGGGATCCATCCCCATCGCCAAAGGACTCTGAGCCAGTAAAGACACCGCTCCAGCGACGACCCACGACAGGACTTCCGTCGAATCCCCGGGCCCAAGCGATGAGGCCAATCGCGAAGGAGGCTAGTAGTCAACGACAGGAGACTGTAATGTTTGTCAATAACATTGTCTATGACGATCCAAATTTCGTCAGCAATATCGTCCAAGGGGCTTCAAAAACGCCGAAACCCTCCCTAAACTCTCCAGATTCGATTGTCAACCGTCCACGTCCGATCCCTAGAAAAGGAGATAATGACCGTCAAGTTTTTCCTGCCGAGGTTTCACCTACTCAGGGACATAGACGTTCGAAATCAAGTGGCTCGATTATCGCGAGAAAATCGATCCTGACGTCTGTACCGGGAAGCCCTACCCAGCTGCCACCTTTGCCACCTCCGCCGAAAAGTGCCGGTAACTTGTCTCGTCCTCAGCTCAATCACACGAAGAGCATGTCGCTCGACGAGAAAATGGACTTGCTGTATACCACACCTCTTAGAGCTCCATCGAAACAGAAGTCGATGGTCCCCGAGATACCACCATTGCCGACGGTGTATGCGGTGGGCACGCAAGGGCCAAATACTGAGAGTGTTTCTGACCGCGGAGTCCAAGATGGCTATCGACTATCTAAGGCAACTGACAAGAGTTCAACGCGAACCACCAGTATCCTCGGCATCGACGATATTCCGCAAGATGACTTACAGAGGGCTGGCAGCTCTCCCAATGTAGTTGATAAGTCGGGTCAGTTCCGGCAGCCGAGAATATCTGTCGAAAACGAAAGCAAACCACGCCTATCCGATGCTAAGATGAATAGAAGATCGTCACCTGTCATCCCGGTAGAAGGTCAATTCAGTATGCCGTCTTCGAAGGATGAAAGCAAGGAGCGAGATGGATATGCCAGCACTATCTGGGGCTCCGTGCATTCTCCTATTGCTGCTGTTAATATTCAGCAGTCTAGGCAGAATGCCCATTCAACGTATATTCAAAAAGACACTCGAGCCCTCGGAAAACAGAAGAAATATAGTAGCTCTATCAAGGAAGCGACTATCGAGCAATCTAACGCGGGCAGTTTCCATCGTCGGGTTGGCGAGGAATGCCCGTCTTTCTCTAATAGAAAGGGCAAGGGTCGATTAAGAAAGATGCCTCCACCAGCGCCTCTGATTCTTAACGGGAGATATAACAACAGGACAATCCTAGTTCAACCTGCAGAACCCTCGCCACTCGAGTCGCCCGAAGCCGCGTATCAGATGATTCAAACTCAGCTCCGACGTTTCGAGCAACCAAACCCGGATTCCGTGGGCAGCGAGGGACAGCGGCTGATACTACTAGAGAACCTGGAGAAAGAGATGAGTCAACTTGAAAATCAATGGCAGCACTCACAAAACCTTCTTCAGCGTAATTCCATATCGAGTATCAAAACTTCTCCGGCGAAAGATTCCCGCCCTCCTTCAACGATAGCCGAACGCAGGGCATCGCGAAATGCGGCTATACGAATTGGAATTATGCGATCTAAAGGCGAAGGTACTACGAGCACACACCCGTCTCAGACTTCCGGGCTAAGTTCCGAAAACACTTGCACCAGCCAGGGGCAAGCTCGTTTTGCCGATGCTCAGGCGGAAGATATGACGAACACGCCCAACTTGATTATGAGGCATAACAATCTTAACTTCCTTTCTGTCTCTAAAGCTGCACTAGGTAGCCCGAGCCCACCTGATACCGAAGAATCTGAATACGAGAATAGATTACCCAGTAGCATACAACCGCTTGGCCCAAGGCTATCTACGCAGTTGGACAAAACTTACCAACTTTGGAAACCTCAATGCCCCGTCCAGAACTCGAACAATTCAGGTCTCTGGGTGGGAGTAGCGAAGCAGCGTCAGACAACTAGTAAGAGTCTGGAGCTTCCAAGCCTGCCTCCGCGTCCGGCAACTAGAAAACCATTGGCCCCATTAACCATAGAAAGCTCTAGACTATGGCAAAAGACTTCTAAGAGCAGCAACACGATAATTGGCAATGGCCTTTGGGAGAAGTGCATTCCGTCGCACGATTCCGAACCAAGCAGGGCTGTTTCTCGTCCGGTCACCGTTCGCCCTCCTCGAAGGAACAAGCGCGTGTCTCTCCTACCTGATATTTTAGAGAACCCTGAGCCCTTGCCTGATAGGCGTGGCACTTTAGGTCTATTTCAATTCCCTTGGGGCGAGAAGAGCGAGAATGCCAGCATTCAACTTCCGCCACCTCCCCGTATGTATACGGCCATGCCAGGAACTATGACTACAGGAGCCCCGGCCGGGAATGTCTTCTTGAACCTCAGGTCAAGTCAGCCCGAAGACAATGAATTTACGACGTCCTTCTTTGATGACTATGAAGCTGAGGAAGAGGGCGACGATAACTTGGACAACTTTAATGACTTCTCAGATAGCGATGGAGATGATTTCGACGAAAGCACTCTGTGGGAGATTGCAAGCTTACTCAGGACCGAGGTGCCCTCAAGGGATAGCTTACTTCTTGTTTCACAATACACTTCGCCACCCGCCAACTCTCCCACGTTTTCCCACGATGTCATCGATATGCTAGTTGATAATTATAATGACAATGGCATGGTCCTAGAAGACCCAATACTGCTGGATCGGTCTTACAACTCAGCCCCTGAGTCTATTTCCACCCAGGGCTTGCTGTGGTCAGCCCGGTCAGAGCCCCCCCAAAACCATCGCGCTCTTGGCTTGCCCCAGCCAGACTTGGCAATCTGGGAAAGTTATAGAACAGAAACTAGGGAAAAGGCTAAACCTAACCGCCGCGTCGAAGATGTCATGTCTATCCGAAGTATGAACTTATGGGAACCAAGGACTGAGGATGGCAATCACAGTACTAGTTCACTCTGGAGTGCGTCAAAATCACATGCTTTACTAGATATCTCTTCGCAAACAATAAAGACAGATGCGCCTACTCAGCCGGTATCTCTATGGGTGCAACCGGTCGCTAGTGTAGCTTCGGAAGCCCGGGGCTTGTTCGACATTAGCCAGCCGAGGGAGGACTATCGAAGAAGCTCAAAGGAGCCTGCTGCTCTTTTCATGAAGAAGAAGCCTCGTACAGTTGAAATGTCACTAGGAAAGCTAGCATCTAAAAGTCTCTGGGGAACCAATGACACTGCTGCCCCATTGTTGCTTCTTTGGCAGAAACCGGCTATGACTCCTATGTCTGAGCATAATGGTTTGTTTGACAGCAATGCGGCTAGATCTGACTACCGCAGGACTGCCAAAGAACCGGCTGCTATTTCTATGAAAATAACACCTCGTCTGATTAGGGAACCGCTAGTGAGCCTTCAGACAAGAGATCTTTGGTCTAGGGAAAGCAGTGCGTCGCAGCCGATTCGTGGTGCTGAGATGTTCTTGTCTAAGAATTCCGCCACGAAAGCTTTGCAGCCAAGTGAGAAGGGGACCATGCCTAAGATACAGAAAGTGTTATTGTGGGAGAAGCCAATGAGGCATGAAGCATCAGAGCACGGAGGTCTATTTGATATTAGTGCTGTAAGATACGATTACCGGAGGACCTCTAGTGCCCCAGCTGCCATTGCGATATCAAAGAAGTCTCGTCCCAACAAGGAACCCTTACCTTCTATCACATCGACTAGTCTCTGGACTGGAGAGGTCGCGGCCCGTACCTTTGAGCCCCGTGTATTTTCAAAGATATCGTTACCAAGTCGTGAGAATCTATTGTGGGAACACCCTATCCTGCCCGCCATCATGTCGAATTACGAAGGTTTATTTGATGTGAATGTTGTTAGAATAGATTACCGTAGGACCTCCAAGCTTCCGGCTGCGATCAGTATGGCGCGAAGGCCTCGCAAAGGAGAAGAATCTCCTACGGCTCTAACAAGCACGAAGCTCTGGGAGATGTCGACCAAGTCACGCCACACTTCTACCAGCTCGATTTCCCTATGGAGTAAAGCCAGCGTATTAACATCCTTCACATCTGGCTTGTTCCAATTGGACCCTACTCGCAAAACCTTTCGAACTACTTCCGCAGAACCTGCTGCTCTTCAAATGAACCGAAAACCCCGCTTCGCTAACGGACCCCTACCGATCATCGAGTCGACTCGTCTGTGGACTAACGATCAAATCACTTCGGTTGAGCTAGATTGGATAATAATTTCATCTGTTCGACCGAGCGGTCCATCTGTCATTTCTGTATCTACAATAGAATCGTTGCCCACATCTCCTATGACCGAATCATCATCAGTCAAAACTGGCGCCACCCAAGCATCTTCGGCCAAGGACACTGGCAGTCCCCTCCGTCAGTTATCTCGTCCTAACATCGTGTATCCCGTGGACTGGGATAGCGCTCTACAAGAAGCCATTGTAGATAGTTCCCCTAGTTCTATGGCTGCTTTGAGAGCTTCTTACCCTCGGAACTGGGACGTTGAACTTCAAGCAGCGATCCAGGCAAGCCACGTATCCCCTAAAATTGTCCGTAAAGCTGCATCCCCTCGCGACTGGTCTAATGCACTCCACGCCGCGATCATTTCTTCATACCCTGAGATTAGGTTCTCACGTGGTCAAGCTTTGCCATCAAAATGGAATACCGCACTTCAAGATGCCATTGCCAGAAGCCCGCCACCCCAGACAGATTCAACTGCCATGCTGCTCTGGGAGAAGCCGGTTACGAAAATGACCCCTGCTACGAATAGTCTATGGTCCCCTGAGCTCATCGACGAGACGGCATCTCGCTTCGAGGCTCGCATTGAGACGATGCGACATGGTCCGCGCAAATTTAACAAAACTTCTCAGAGGTCCGCCTCCGATATCGAACCTGACTTCAGCAAGCAAGAGATGTGGAGGCGTGACAATAACATCAACGACCAAGGGAGGGATTGGTTAGAGGGTTCGATGAGGAAGCGTTTCACGCGCGTCGAACTATGATACTGAAAGAGTTTCGAAAGGGTTGGTTTCAAGGATCGTCACATTAGGTAGGAACAGATATTATTATATACCCCTTCATATTGCAAAACATCTAATAATTAGCGGAGAACCGCATTTCATTTATATCATTCTTTTAGCTTTTATTTTGCCGTGTTTATATCTAATTCTAGTGTTTGGAAGAACGAATGTATCTAATGCAGCATCACGCTTGACGAAGCCTTAGGTACCTAGGTAGATATCTAGCAAATTCAGAAAAGCTTTTGTATCTATTCAATACAGTCCCTCTGAATACAGGTACCTTAGGGTATCACGTAAGTGTAAAACTATTGCTTGTCCCATCAAAAGCCGTAATAGCTCCTCCGATCAAAGCTTTCCTATCTCCATAATACTTCATCCTATACGTTCCTGCTTCGGCATCCGACTCTGTCTCCCAGCTAACAGTAACCTCGCTATATCCCAGAACAGCATCAGTTCGTTTCCATGTATATACCAACGACCAATCCGAGTCGTCCCTAACCTGTGTCCAAGAGTCTCCATCTTGCTTCTCTATAGCCGTAAACGTACCGTCAAGTCTCAAGTTGTTACGCGGGTTAGCGCCGACGAATGTGGCGTTGACGACGGCGCCGCGCGCATATTTCTCGGCGGGCTGCGAGATCACGTCGCCGAATGACTTGCCCAGTGGCGCGTTGTCCTGCACGACTCCCGTTATGAAACTGAGGCTGCTCTTGCGGTTATCCGGCGGCTTTGGGCCTGGGTCTGGCGAGCTTGACGAGTCAGGGGCCAGGTACTTGATGTTACTGACGGTGAGATTGATATATGCGGCAAGTTCCCACTGGCCGAACAGCGTGCTCGCGCCTTCATAACGCTGGATACCGTACTCCTCCGGTGTGGTCAGGTAGTGTGCGTAAGTATTCGCTGGTCCGCCTAGAACTACCTTCGGCTCGGTATCGACGATATCGGTGGAAGCAGCCTTAACCGCGGCGCGCCATCTGCGTCCGGCCATAGTGGTCGCTTCACTAGGGCTAACGATTATAACAAATTGTCCGACTCTTAACAGTTGAACGTCGATGATATTGGGACTCCACTGGTATGGTTGGGATAACTCCCCTACGTCGAGGAGGACAGGCTTGGGGCTCTGACACGCTTTCTGCTGGGGCGATGGCGCCCGGAGCAAGCTCTTGATTACTTCCCAGACGGGACTGGCACTCGGCTCGCCCGAATCGCCCTGTGTAAAGTCAAAAGCGCCAGGGCCGTCCGAGGTTCCAGCTGCGAAGGAATAACCCAGCGCAGCCGGACACGTCTGGACCTCGGTGCCATTCTCGAGCTGGAATTTCCAAAAGCTCATGTCGTGGTAGAAGTGAAAAGCCTTGACTGTTGAACCTACAACAGGGGTTCCGGATGTGCCGAACAAGTCCTAATATAAGAATTAGCTACAGCCAGCTATATAGGTACCTAAGGTATTTAAGTAAACTGATATTTGTCTTACATAGACCGACCTAGCACCGTCGTACTGGCGTTTTCCTATCTCGTAGCAACTCGCAATCCCAAAATCGAGCTTGTCAAATAGGGGTCCTCGCCCGTGACAGTGCTGGGATTTACCGTCTGCGCACGTACTATTCTCCAAGCTGCATTGCTGGCCGGATCCATCATCACACCTTGTAGATATATATGTTATTACATCCTGCTCCTCTAGCGACGGTGGCTCATAGTGTAGTGCAGGCTTACCATGCGCCAAGCGTGTTAGGGGTCGTGTCCCCGACATTTGCTTGGGAGAAGCCGGCGACAAATCCGCTAGCTGCTGAGTCTTCACCCTCCATGGCTTTCTCGAACATGACCTCCGCTACTCCTTTGTTATCGCCGGCCACATGTGTGCTATTCTGGTAGATCGACGTCCCGTGGACAGGATACCAAGTTAGAATACCGATGTTTTTGCCGTCAGACGCACGCTGAAACTTGAGAACGGTCATCTCTTTATCGACATCATCGTCGTACTGGGCTCGTTCTTCAGCAGGGTTGGCCAAGTAGGCGTATAGACTCCGACTAAGGTTGCCATCTGTAATATTTACCGCCCCTATTGGTCCCATTAGAAGGTTCCACGTAGATTAGACATTTTATATATCCGTACCGAAGTCGAGGTAACCCTAAGGATAAGTTATTTAGTCTTATATCCTTCGTGCTGGTCAGTTCTTTACCTACCTCGGCCAAAGACTCGTGAGCTCTTTTGATCGACAAGACAGCTCCATCAACGATGGCTTGATAGCTCTGCTTATCGAATCCTAAACTAGTTACCTGTGGAAGTAGGTAATTAAACCAAGCTCCAGGTCCGGAATGGGCATGCGTCCCGGTCACCGCGACGTTACCGCTACCGTACACGGCATAGTCGTCGCCAAGCGCCGCAATACCATCTAGGATGCCGAAACGCACAGCTGTATCGCCAGACTGCGTGTCGAGGACCAGATATACAAATCGATCATTCGGGTTATCGACATCTCCGATTATGAACGCCCGCGAATAAATGCGCTGGCGAAGACCCGTGCCGGTCTGGGAGAGGTCGGCGTATCCGGCGAAGTTGATTTCTACCACAGGTCCGGTTATATCAGCCTTCCCAACTCCAATCAGATACTTATCCCCCTTTGCATTCGTCCTGGCCTTGGATTCCCATCGAGTATTCGTGCTAGCCGCCTGTACGCTTTTCGCATGTCGAAACCCGAAACTGTGCTGCCGTGGTACAGCGCCAAATTTGGTTGCGAATAAGGTTCCTATGATTAAGATAGAGAACAAAGATAGAAAACCTAGTACTGGTATTCGCGAAGTTGGAAGTCTAGAGGCATACGTCGGAGCCATGGTTGAATATTTGGATATTCGGTTGCTCCTGTGGCCAGCCAACCGCTTCTTTTTATGAGCGACAGAAGTAACAGAGTTCAAGCTCTCAATGCATCCTCCCATGTCGCTGTTGCCGACCTTGTTGCTTTTATTTCCTTAACCAAGTAGAAGTAGGAAAGAGACACGAGACAGTCTTCAAAACAACATGCCTAGCCTCGGTTCCTCTCCCCGTCCCGGAATGCAACGTCGACAGCGATAAGTACGTAGGTGTATGTGCAAACAAGCAGATAGACCTAGAAACAGATCACGCATGTGCAACCATAGTTGACAGCTCCCCCAATGGGAACCTTGTATTGTAATGGGCCTTATATCTGTACCATACCTATGCATGTAAAACCAAGCCGCGGCGTGTGACATCATGAAGCTGAACTTGAAGTGTAATGGGGGTACATAACAGGGACATGCAAGATTGCATACGTCCCAGTTGTTAGTCGGGGATGGTAGGGCACGCGATTGGGTCGGGGTTATCGCAAGTCTGCAGACCTTTCCTGGGAAGTGAATATCTTGTTTTTGTATTAAGCAGATGAAGATACTGAGCAGGTCATTTGATGAAATGCGGGGGGGGGGGGGGGGAGAGGGAGGGAATTGAGACAGGTAGTAGTATGTGAACGGATAGCGGCGTACCATTCGCAGGCTCGAAATAGGAAGTTCTGGACTAGGTCTTAAGGTACCTACCCCAAAACCGTGACAGAGTGAGACATAAAAAATATCTATCCTATTAGATAGCCTAGACTTACATAGTAGATACCGATGGAAAGATGCACATATTCTTTCCGGCAGAATCATGGTGCTAACACCCTGAATCTAATGTAGTTCATGTTGAAGCAATAAAAAAAGGGGGTATATATCCATTTTTCTATGAGAAGCTGATGCGGAATAAATATAACAAACAAAAAATAAATATATTTATATAGGTATCTAAGTTCTATAATAACGTAAGCTTTTGCTATATATACATATATATACAAGGTAAGTATTCGAGTTCTACGCTCTAAATAACTATTGATAAAGGCGAGGGCGTAGAAGCATCGCCCATAAGGAGCTGAATGGAACCCAATTTACATGATCATGTCTGTTGAGTGGTCCAGCCTAAGCCTCTTTTTTACGTCGCATTCACTATTAATTCTCTAGGGGTAGATCCCTCAGATCCCTCAATTCATCCCAACCCAATAGTACAATTTCCGCAAGAAGAGCCCTTTCGTTCAAATCCAGGCACTACAGTGCAATATTGCAATACCTTTGCACGTCTATCATTCTACTTGAAATATGCCAGTCAGCTTACGCTCCGACGCTAGCTACTCGCTGCTGCTGCTGCTGCTGGTGCTCGGGTTGAGGGGTTAATCTCCTCGAAATATTTGGTATTCCGACACGATCCGCCATTCGGTCCGGCACCAGATCCGGAGACACCGACCGAATGGGATATTCGGCGGCCGGTGTGGCAAGTAGGAGACGAGATGTCATGGGCTGCGGCGCTAGAATAGTAGGGGACTCGACCTCTTCAATCACGGTCTTGGGAACTGGTCCCGGCCCCGTTCGAATGCTCGAGGGCAGAATCTGTTCGAATCCTTGTTGTCTTGCGACCTGCTCGATACTCTTAAAATACTGCGGCCGTTCTTAGTTTACGAGACTACAGTTCGTACCGTTGAGGCATGCTTACCTTGACCGTCTTCACTTGAAGCTCTAATGTGGCATCCTCGTCGCACACTATCATGGGATGGGGATGTAGTTGAAGACTTGAAAGAGTCCACATGTGGTTGACACCCTGCTCGATGCACTTTTGAAGAGCGAGGGCTTTGCGAGCGCCGAGGATAATGACGACGACTTCTCGGGCCTCAAGAACGGTCTGGACACCAACTGTCAAGGCCATCTTAGGGACCTTGTCGATGTCATTCCCGAAGAAGCGAGAATTGGCAAGGATGGTATCATAAGCTAGCGTCTTGACACGGGTTCTCGAGGCCAAGCTAGAGCCGGGTTCGTTGAATGCGATGTGCCCATCTTCCCCGATCCCGCCCAAGAATAAATCAATACCCCCGGCACGCTTGATCTTAGCTTCATACTCGACGCATTCTGCTTCGAGATTTGGCGCGTTGCCGTTGAGGATGTGGACATTGTTGGGGTTCACGTTAACGTGAGAGAAGAAGTGCTTCCACATGAACGAGTGGTAACTCTCCGGATGATCTCGAGGGATACCGACGTACTCGTCCTGTCCAAAGCACATTTAGCACATCAAATACTCATCTTATAGAATGAGGTTACTTCATACCATGTTGAAAGTAACAACATTTTCGAAGGATATCTAATAGCTTTCCGTCAGTCCTTATCCCGATACTCCGAGGTGGCGCAGACCTACATTTCCGGCTTTATATTGCTCAACCAATATCTTGTACACACCCAGAGGGCTCGAGCCGGTAGGTAGGCCAAGCACGAAAGGATGTGAAGGAGTGGGATTGAAGTGCCGGATTCTGTTGATGATGTAATTAGCTACGTAGTAGCTAGCAGTGTCCGAATCGTCGCGGATGATAAGCCTCATCTTGAGATGAACTGTAGATAAAAGTATAGATAAACAATCAAGATGTAAAAGATCGATCTACCCTCTAGTAGCGGAGTAGTAGGGACGTAGTCGTAATTCTTGCAAACCTTTAGAGAGAAATAGGAAAGAGAACACGACAAAAGTCGTTGATTAGCACAAGGTTTTACATTCATTATGAGCAACAGGCTCATAGTGTGGGTGGGAAAGGCCTACGATAGGAAAGGCCTTAAAGGGATAGCATCGGACCCTACGGTCGATGATGGAACGTTGGCCCGGGTTGGCCTTGTTCTCCACCGTGACGATAGCGAGTTGTAATTGCGACTAGGGAGGCTCGTTGAACGTTGTAGTACATACATAGTAGTAACCTGTCCATCAACTGTTTTAGGTCATGTGGTGCTACGAACAATCTGGTTGGTTGCTTCGGACACTGTGAATCGTGAGCCCTGACCAACCATATATGATGGCCTACTCCTCATCGCGGAGATCCCGGCTTCGCAAAGGCGATCGTAAAAGGGGGGAGGGGGATTGTAAGAAAGCATGATAATGCTAGTAAGCCGAAGAGGTACAATACCAAAGACATCATCCTCCCGGGCCGGGTAGTGGGGGCCACAAAGTGAAAGCGAAGCTAAGCCAGGGACTCGTCTCTATTCGCTCTTTTTAAAACTTGATCCAACGGCATCGAGTTTGGACGGGTATGTATGTATGACATTAGATTTCTCTGCATTTTCTAATACTTCTTCTCTATGGGAGCCGCAGAGCTGAATCAGGAAAAAAACCAAAATATCTAGCCTGGCCAAGCAGAGCACTACCGAAACCATAAATTAATCTGTTTCCTAGGGAATCCCGGCTAAGTTAAAATAAATAAATTAAAAAAAGAAGAGAAAAATAAGAAAAATAGATGAATTCAGGAGACAAAACCAGACAGACCACTGTAAAGGATAGACCATTGGGCGGGTATGGCTTATACACTCACTACCTGACTACGATACATACCTCCTACCTAACCTATATCGAAGTGCCCTTCTTTGCTTGTTACTTACTTACTACCTATGTAAGGCCGTCTCTGCTAAGAACGGCTCGGTATCATGCAAGCGCCATGTGGCTCGTGCATGGAAGGCGATCCTTGCTCCTTGAAATATGGATCAGTAAACTCACTAATTGGGAACTTGGACCTGGAAGGTTAGGAAAGTTCACGACGAAAATCTAGAGCTTACAACGTTACATCTAGAAACATTGACCCAGAATGGCAGATATGCGCAACAGCAACAGCAACCACAACCAAGGTGAGACAAATGTGTACCGTTATGGTTCCTCCTCCTCTTCCTCTGTATCGTCTCCTCCCTGTCCTTCCTGATCTTGCCAGTCCATTGGTTGCGCTATTCGAGCCTGGACCCTGGACCTATTCCATTTTGCGCTGAAGCTCGTTTGTTCGTTGTTACCTATCAAACGAAAAAAGAAGGAAAAAAAAAGACATTTCTATTTGAGGTATGTATGTAGTATGTATGTGCGCGCTCGTTGCCTCGACTTAGTATCATAGCTGCTACACTGCTACATCACGGAAGTACCACCGAGCCAGGCAAGCAGAAGTAACCGGCAATATCACCCAAGATCATCAATTATCACCAGCATCTTAAAAGTCACCTGCCCAGTCCAGGACACGGTGGCGCTGGATCTATCTGCGGTCCACTTTCCTGACATCCCGTCCCGCCCTATCCCATATCGCCGGGGCGTCTAACTGTTATTATCGTCCCTGGCTATCCTAGCAATTGCCCATGTTTATGTTCGTGGTGTATCGTTTTTTTCTTTTTTGTGTTGGGTGGTAGCAGGACCCTGGGCCTTTCTTTACAAGCATACATAGCTACGTTCAGTCAGGGGTGTATATATGTGTGTGTGTTTTAAGGTTGAGGCCTCTTAGCTCACTTCAGGTGTCTATCTCGACATACCACATACTTCCGCTCTCGAGCGCAACCATCGTTTCCTCGTATCAGTCTCTCTTAAGGTTTCGTTCTTTTTTTATTTATTTATTTTTTCCCTCTTTTTTTTTTAAGCTGCCATTCGCTACTATTGTACCCGTTCGTTCGTGCTGTAACCCATTGGGTCCTACCAGAACCACCCTCGTACTCTCAAACCCGGTGTCTTGGCTCTTTATTCTTCACTTTTCCCTGGGATCGTACATCACTTAGATCCAACCAACGGGCCACCTCGTTAACTTCGAATTTGTCCGGCAGGTTTCATTTCTGCCGCTTTAGCTTTTCCCCGCCTATACGAGCCCTGACACGGCCCTAAGGAAACATTTCTCTATTGTTTCTAATTGCCTGTTTCTACTGGAACATGACGAATGCTGCTTGAAGACGAGACCGACATCTCGTCTTTGGATATCAGCTGCCCTTCTCTTTTGTTTTCTTCCATCAAGTCCTCTCATGTTACCTTCATGACTACTTATATTTATTCCCGACTAGACCCCTACACCCGTCAGTTGTCATGCAGCCACTCACTTCTGCAATGGCTACGTTGAAAAAATCGCTATTAGCCGTCCTCAAGGGGAGATCCTTCCTACAGGTCCTCTTCGCGTTTTGGATTAGTCCTCGGACCTTGAAAGGTCACCGAGTCGACGGAGAGATATGCCCGTCGAGGACGCTTGAGCAATTCTTGGAGGAAGCGGAAAAGCTCTTTCTAGGTCCTATTGGTAGAGACGGGCTGAGGAAATATTCATTAGATCTTAAGCGTCAGTTTCGGGAACGGCTGCACACCCATGCAGAATGCATGCTTCCGTCCTTCAACCACCTGCTCCCCACTGGCAAAGAGTGCGGTCAATATCTAGCTCTCGATGTTGGGGGATCAACATTGAGAGTTGCACTGGTGGAACTAAGGGGCCGCGGAACACCTGGGAAGGAGAGCGAGATTGTTCGAATGGTTAGCTTCAAGATCACGCCGGAAGTCAAGAAGCTCGAAGGAATGAGTTTTTTCGACTGGATGGCGGCTCGGATCCACGAGGTCATCCGAAAAGATATCTCACATGATCAAGAGGTAATACCAATGGGTCTTGCCTGGAGTTTCCCCGTGGAGTAAGTATCGCCTCCCCGAGCCTAGACATAGACTGACCAGTGCTAACATGTCTCCAATAAGACAAGTATCCATGGGTGGCGGCCTTCTGCTTGGCATGGGTAAAGGTTTCCTAGCTACTAGTGGTTTGCTCGGCCAGGAACTGGGCGAGGTCATCAAGTTCGCCTGCAGGAAGCAAGGCCTTAACATTCAGCTCGAAGCGATCGTAAATGACAGCACGGCAACATTGTTGTCTCAAGCATACGTCCATGCCTCAACGCGGTTCGGTCTAATCCTAGGCACCGGCACTAACATTGCAGTCCATCTACCAGTGTCAGCGTTTAGCCGTTCCAAATACGGCAAGCGCCCAGACAGTTGGTTCGAGTCGGCAAGCCACGTTATCGTGAACACGGAACTGGGAATGTTCGGGAAGGATATCTTACCCTTAACACGGTGGGATGAACTCCTGAGCGCTGCTCACCCGCGGCCCGAGTTCCAACCACTCGAGCATCTACTCAGCGGGTACTACCTTGGAGAGATTTGCCGGCTCGCTATAGTCGAGGCTGTTGAAACGGCCGGGCTGCTAGGCGGTCAGTTACCACCATCCTTGGAGAAGCCGTACTCCCTAGGCACAGAATTATTATCAAGCATGGAGGAGTAAGTCCCATGTGCCGCACGTTGTTCAACATGAAAAACCCAAACTAACGCAGATACCCAGCGATACGTCTCCTGGTCTCGAAAAAGCCACATCACAATTCATAACACACCACCCTTCTGCCGTACCGCCTACTCTATCCGACATAGCCGCCATCCGTACCCTCGCAACATATATATCACGCCGCTCCGCCGCTCTCCTGGCCGCGTCCGTGTTTTCGCTCTGGGAGTTACGACACGAGACTGAGGCCGAACTCGCCGCACAATCTCTAAAAGCCACACCCTCGAACGACAGCGCCGTGGCCCTGCCGTCGCCTTCAGTCGACGAGGAGATCAAAGAAGCCGAAGTCAGCACCAAAGTTGCTTTCAACGGCTCCGTCATCGAGCACTACCCACAGTACCGTGCCACATGCCAGCAGTACATCGACGATCTTGTCTCACACAGTGAACACGTGGGGTCAATAGACCTAGTCCCAACAGTTGAAAGTTCGCTTATTGGCGCTGCGGTCGCGCTCGCTTGTGCTACTGCTGCCGAAGCGTAGTAGGAAAGCCCTAGTGGTGATGTCGAACTGTTGGAATATATATTATGAATATTGCATCTTATGTTTTTTTTCGTGTATTGTTTTCGGAGAACATACCTGTTAACGCATTCTGCCCGGGGAAGAGACGAGAAGGGGGAAGTACATGATGCTTGGATATATCTAGCCATAAATAAGGAGGGGCGGACATGTGGTGTTTGGGTCTGTTAGCGAGCGAGCAAATAAGAGGTAAGGAGCTTTTGAAGCGGGTATACTAGATGGCGTCTAAGGCTACATAGCATAATGAATAGATATCAAACCGCCTCTAAAATAGTATGGTGTATGAGCTAGGTGCATCAATATCCTTCTGAGATAGCATAGGTAACGTCGAGGTTTGTCAAGGCTTAATTCATTTTACGCTATGCTCTTATGGTGCCTATAGCAGTTGAGACTTATGTCTTGTAAACCCCTACACAAACTTGAAAAGGAAAGGGCCAGCATCTGATAAAGTATGTCATAAAGGGATAAATTTTGAAATTAAATCCAGATACTCAGCCGATATGCCTTAGAAGGTCTAGTGAAAGTTGTCAATAAAAACACGAAGACTCCACTAGTCCCTGCTATAACTACATACATACCTACGCATACTGAAGAAGCGTGGCAGTTTTAGAACGAATATATCTTCATAATACAAATAATACCTCAAAAAAACAAAAAACGCCCAGATGCGTCATGCCGTAATCGTCCAAGCGTCTTGGTTATCCCGATTAGAATGATGCTGCTTACTTCAAACTATCATTCGCCATATTTAAAAGAAAGAGAAAAAAAAAAAAAAAAAGACCGTTTTCTTTTGTGACCCACGTACGTTCCTGCTTAAGGAGGATTAGATATGCTTTTTGTTATTCGGCTAAGAAATATCTCTTGAATTTGTTCCCCATCTGCTGCGCCTTGATTTCTTGGGGCACTGCGATGTGGTGGACAACGTGAGGCCGGTAAAAGGGGTCCACGACAGGCCTCCTGTATGTATAACTATCAGTATAATTTTATCAAGACGGAAAGGCAAAAAGAGGGGGTGGGTTGTAGGATTTACCAGTCGTCAACGTTTAGCGGGAAATATTCATATAATTCTTCCTCCTCTTCTATCGGGCTACCGGCGGTGCCATGGCTTGTAGACGTACGGTGCAGCTTCGGGCTGGTGAGCGGGTCCGATGTAGAATGATTATTTGGGCTCCGTTCATCCTCAGATAGGGATAGATTGATCGGTATGGATGGAGTCGGTGAGCCATTTTTCGTATGATTCCCTAGGGCGTGCATCTTACCCGAGTCTATACCCCATGCCGGAACGGGAGGCCGGTTTATATTTGGAGAGAGAGCTATTCTCTTTGCTGGGTGTGCCTGCGAATTTGCTTGCCCACCGTAAGCTGGCGCGGAAGAGGTCCCACGGGATGATGTCGGCGCCGCATTGCCTAGTGATGACGAATAGTTGGGTAATCCATGTGAAGAGTCTGTCCGCTCTATCTTCAGATTCGATGCTGTACTCGCGTCGCTATCCGTTCGGACTCGATCCCCATTGCCGGGCATCTTCTTGTCGCCGGTGAGAGGTACATCTTTTCTGCTATCAAAATTTCGTGGGCTACGCCCTCGCACAATAACCGCACCGCTTTGAATTTCTGCAATCTTCATAAGCTCACCACCTGTCTTCATCTTCCCTAGCAAGCTGATCTGCACCACGTAATGTTGCTGCAGTCCTTTCCGGCGGCCATTGTTTGCCGTCGCGCTCTTGAATTGCAAACGCTTCCAGGAGACCGGTATGCTGACTCGGTGACCGTCCACCTCCTGGCCACCGGTTAGGTCGAGCGCGATTTTCGGCGGAGCGCTGGCCACTTTGGTTTCTTGCCCTTCACCAAGCGCCGGATTGCTACTTTTCCACGGGATAGAAATAATCTCGGTCGACTTGCCCTCGATACTTTCCTTGGCGGATATAGAAGCAAAGAATTCTGTGATAGGTATAGCACGACCTTGCTCGTTCACAACCTGCGTGCAGTGGCGCGGCATGGTTATCTGTCCCGAACATTGCCATAAGTTCCTCCGATAACACGTCAGCTCTAGAGGCCGACCGCCCGACTCGCCGCCAAATACATCTTCGGCAACAAAGAACATGCCATATAACTCCGCCGACATGGAAACCTCGGAATACGCGCCTAACGCATCATCTAAGGGAGTGGCTTTCGCGGCCGTCGCGGAGAAGCTAAGCAGCTTGCCATCCGGTTGCTGCGGGGAGGAACCCTCATCGTGAAAATCCTCGGTATGCGGCGCGGCCTCGTATGGTTTCGAATAGTTGAAGGGATCTTCGAACGTGGTGGAGAAGGTTTCGAAGTCGTAAGAAGGAGTAAAGGGCAATGGAGGTAAATTGCCATTGAGGTTTTCACTATTTGGATCTTAGTACTCCTACTTACACGAGCTACTTATATCCACCATCCATCCGTATATAATTATAGCCACCACGGCCGCGGTCAGATGCACCATTGGGGTTAACTTACAGTATTGATTCGTCAAAGTTGAGATCTGGTTCGAATGGTTCGATACCCAGGCCGGACCCGGACATAGCATTTAATCCCATGGCGGCGTCTCCCGCGCTGGTGCCAGACTGCAGCGCCGGCATGGAGTTGAAAGTTGCCATCGCATCGTTAAGGGCTAACACCCTACGCGGTCGGAGTTTATGCTTATGCTCGTGCTTATGCTGAGGCTGAGGCTGACGTAGACCTGGTTACCGACTCCAGTGGCGTTAAGAGGGGGAAGGCAAGAGGCGGTTTGTCATTTATCGTCGCGGAACAAGTGGAGTGGCAGAGTGGTCACAATATCGATGAGTAGAGAGTCTATTAGCAACCTAAAACGCTAGAGTACTATGATCTACGACGGAGAGAGCGTAACGGAGGTGGAGGCGCAAAACATTCAATTACTACTCCTGAGCCAAGAGACCAAGGGTCAAGGGTCAAGGGTCAAGGGTCAAGGGCCAAGGGGGTGGAGAAATGAGAATACCTACCTTAGGTACTTGCTAATATGCGCATCTAACCTAGAGTCCTAGACGTTGCAGGTTGGCTGGTCTGTTCACACAACCAGGTTCGACCTCTGCTCTAAGGCAGGCTATCCTATCCGTACAAGCACAAGCACAAGCACAAGCGTACCTAAAGCAGGATGCCTAGAGCGGCTTGGTACCTGGTATCTTGACGTCTTGATGTCCTAGTGTCCTGGTGTCCTGGTGCCCTGGTGTAGTACTGGACCAAAGCTCTGGGGTAATAGACCGAATGATACTTGAATGGAATAGGTGGAGCGTCACGGACATACATAGTAGATTCTGCAGACTTGATTTCTACCTTCTGGAACGAGTTAAAAAGAGGACCTAGGTGGGCAGGTGGGGTGATAGACTTGGCCACACCCCCCCTGACTCTTGGGAAGATATATCATCACATTGCCGAAAGACTTTATCTGTCATCTGTCATTATCTGTTAGTTAGTTACGGTACCTACCTACCTACCTACCTCCTCCAACCCAGAGCCTCGGTGCTTTTTCTTGTATGTACATAGTACGTCCGTTCTTTACATATTGGACCTCGATCGCGTTGTAGTACAAAGAATTCGTTATCAGTCTCGTTATCCTTCATCTTCGATTCGTTACGAAGATTAACGTATTGGTTGGGAAGATCAACCCTCAATTGAGAGGGGAACTCCGGAGGGCGATGCTTGTGACATACATCCAGGTTTGATAGTTACGTCGCGCTTCTATTTTTAAACAGGGGCGGCCCCAACCGGGACGGGGGCTCAAATTCAAAATCGATCAAATGTGTTTGGTTTAAGGATTCCGAAAAGCTTGAGAAAACAATTCGTAATTTGATAAAGAATAATCCGTATGCTCTCCGACTTTAACTCACTCGCTTTAAAATATAAAATCGCAGGAGAAAGGCATGTTTCGCAGCTCTTATTGCCAATGCGAAATAACTACATTCGGACCCCCCACAATTAGCAGCTTACTTACAGGTAGGTACCTCTTTTTCATTCTCATTCGTGCATTTTATACTTTGACTCAGTAGCTGCACACCACACACCAGTTCTAAAAAAGCATTTGCTCAACTTAAATCAGACCACTGCGTTGAATAAATCCCCTAGATCAGCAAGTGTACATCAAGATTGAAGAAGTGGAATAGGCACTTACGTTTTCTGGCGAATTTATAATCTCATCAAATGTCTGTTGAACGTCAAAGCCCATAGCTGCAAGTGGCTCATGTGCTTCGTCAAGTACCTAGACAGACACCTTAGCTCTCACAATCACATCTAATACAAGCTTTGCCGTTGCTTACCCAACTGAGGACGCTCTTTGCAGACTTGTGCGCCTTATTCTGCCTCACGCCCATGAATACTAGCCCTTGCAGGATTAATCTCGACTGGGATCTGGAGGGTACTATTGGAGCAATGATGCCACCAATATCCTCCCCGCTAGTCGAGTGAAGCGAGGGGATATATGTTGACAAGCGACTTCCCGCCGTACAGATGATGACCGTCCCTAACAAGTTACCCATTGAATTCTTGGCTCGGACTACTCCGCTTGTGTTGGCTTCATGTAGTGCAAATCGATAAAGCTCCACGACCTCGGGTCCTGCGTGCGTCGCAACGTGGTTTAACACCGACTCGGCGCTATCAAGTCCGTGGATTAAATCAAAGCTGAGACTTGCTCGTTGAATGCTCTGTAGGAGGCCTTCTGGCGCCGTCCAAGCACCCAAATCTTCGATGACCATGTTCGTTAGTCGTTTCGGAAACTGTGTATCCCACCCAACGTTGTCAAACCAGCTCTTGTTACTCCCGCTTTCACCTACAGGTACGCCTGGAAACACCCCGGGGAATGTAAGCCCAAGCTGGACTGTCCTAATGCCTGGCCTTTGGAGCAATGATCGCATGGCACGACGGTGTAGTGACCTGCCAATCGATACATTCCGTTTCGCCGGATCGACAAACAGAGCGCCAATGGCACCAACTCCTTTCACGAAGTATGTAGCCACAAATCCGTATAATGTCTTTGTGCTGCTATTCCGAACGACAAAATGTGCTTCCTCAACGTGCGAATTGGATAATTCGAATGAATTGGCTCCTGCCGTGAGATATGGGAGGCTAGGGGTGCTCGAGCGAGCCATAGTTTTTAACAGCTCCTCCAGGGCAGAAGCGTCCCGCTCGCGATCATAGTTCTCAACCAGCCATTGTTGTCTTTTTTTAGAGACCTTTTTGCTCTTCCTCATAGTTCCCGGTATCGAACCCTGAGGGATTATCTCCCCACATAGAACACGAACGAGAGAAGCCATAGCTGTCTCCGTAAAATCGAAGGTGCAGACGTACGTCCCGATCGATTTGTCCATCGCGAAGTCGTAGGGAGAAGTAACTGCAACCACTATGAGCGACTTCTTTTGGCCGGTTCCACGAAGCATATGACACATCATCGCTACGTGCTTCGTGAACCCTGTTTGGTACCTATTCCGGTTAGCCTCAGCCGTAACTATAATAATTGCTGACGCTCTGTTTATCAGGTTCTCGTGTACTATGATTTGTTAGCTTAGCTCTTAGATCGAGGTGAAGGTTCTTCTAACATGGCCTAAGTCCATTTGCTGTATACGATGTGTGAAGAAGTTTACCATTGCGTATTCGAGCTAATGATCTGCCCAGTTCTTGAAAGATACCTTCTCCACTCATGATTGCCCCACGTTCTTGGTGAATCCGCCCGTGGTTCATGGGGGTGGCTTTGTTACCCATTTCTAACATGCTCTTAGTAGCTGCCGAAGCTGGCGGTGGTTTGACTAGCGGCGTTAGTAGTAAAAGCTCTTCCTGCTGGTGTAAGCTTTCTGAGAGGGGAAGTAGATTGTCCTTATCCCGGACGACAGCGATTGACTGATCGTAAGTTTTCCGAGAGAGCGCAAGGTGTGTGGGATGTATCTTGGAGAGCAGCGATAACCCCGGGGGATTCAGCGCCTTCTGCCAAGATGTGCACACGCTCTTCAGCTTCAGTACTCGCTTAAGAGAAGTATAGATCCGATCCTTTGATATGATACCGTTCTCAACACCCAACTTTAGCCCCGAAATAGCCTCGAGCTGTACGTCATGTGCTCTACAGAGAAGCACCAGATCATTACCCGCTTCGACGGCCATTACAGTGCCCCCTTTTATGCCATACTCCTGTATAAGTGACTGCATTTCGAGGCATTCAGAGATGGCGACACCTTTGAAACCCAACTCGTTTCTCAGGAGGTCGTCCACAACCTGATCCGATAGACAAGCATGCGTAACGTTCATTCCGGCGTTCTGAATCCCGCATCCACCGACAAACATAGCGTCTAAACGTCCAGCACTAATAGCATTCCGGAACGGTACAAGAGCACTGAGACTAAGTTCTTCCAAAGTCTGAGTGATAATAGGCATATCTAAGCTAGAGCCAAGGAAATTAATATTTCCGTAGGAGGGAAAATGTTTCCCGCAAGTTGCTACTCCGGCGTCCTTGAACCCGTTAATGGCAGCAATACCAAACTGGGATGCTTCTTGGGGATCATCTCCAGCAGCTCGGACGCTAAGAGGTTGATGTTGAGCGTTAGTCAAGACATCTAAAACGGGACCGAGAATGAGATTGACTCCGACGGCAGAAAGTTCCGTAGCCGTAGCTTTTGCTACGCTATAGGCCAGCTCCGTGCTTCCCGTAGCAGCGATGCCCATCGCACTAGGAAATTGGCAGATATAATCTTCATCAAATAGACTGTTGACACCTCCATTCTCTTGATCAACAGCAATCAATAGAGGTTGGGGGTGTCCCGCTTGGTGTGCTATTGTCTGAAGCTCCTTGACCAGAGAAGCAGTCTGCTCTGCAGCTGTACAGCATATAATCAGTATTCTCTTTGCATAAATAAGGCTTTCGGAGATGCAAATACATTGGAGATTTTTAGGCGTCAATATGATAGAACCTAAATGGTGATTTTCGATGAGGTCTCTGATTTGAGGCGTTACTTCTGTACCATCCCATCCCATAATCAACATCTGACCAATGGCCCTATAGGAAAGAATTAGCGACGTGCTCTAACCATGCAGCCGGAGCTTAGCCATGAGGCTCTTGACGAAGAGGGCGTATACCGTACCAATCGAGGTTCTGCCATAGTGGGTCGAGTTCGCTTCCCGACTTAGTCATTTTGAGGTTTGAGGTCGTATTGTTACAACTTGATGCTATCTATATACTAGCCAGAGGTATCATGGGCCGAAAGACGTACTATGTAAGCATGGAAAAAAAATAATAAACAGGGAGGGAGAGGGAACTAAGAGCTACAAGAAGAGTTAGTGTGAAGCTGGTGAAATTTGGAGTACGGCCGGCTATGCAGAGTGAGCATGTCGTGTATGGCTGACAGCTTACAGAGTTGAGAAAATCAACTTATTATTAGGTACCTGACACGCCAAATAAACCTATTGCATTGTATTGTACGGATTCGTGTACCTGCCTATTGTATTGTACATACAATACCTACATAAATCTGGGTGGGGGTGAGTTGTAGGGGGCGAACTGTACCTAAGTGTACCTAAGGTATAATTTTGGGGAAAGCCGCGCTATTCCGCTTTGACTTTTAGTTGCCGTTTTCCATTTCCACCTACCTTAGGTACCTCCTAAGGTAATCTAGAGATACATAATTCGTTCATCGGTGATTTTGATTTTATCGGGGCCTCGGTTTCCAGAATATTACCTTAACCTTCCAACCTTCCAGCCTTCCAACACCAACTTCGCAACGTTACTTTACACTAAGTATAACGCACTGGACGGGAATACTGTGTAGGAATATTCACGATCCAATTTTTTTTTTAATTACCTGTCTATTGCCTCATTGCATTGGATGGTCACAAAGAGATTAACCTACTGTAACAGTTGTAGACGACTTCAACCAATCGTAGGATCCGACGATAAACGATGGCACCCACGAACGGTAATAGTGTATCGAGCAATATCGCATCTCCCACCTCGCACAACGAGTCTCTCGTCAGCTAGGTCGCCATACCCTCTTAGTAACCAACCCATCGGTCTAGAAGCGCTTAGAGATTACTGACCAGTCTCTATAGTCACATGTTTCTACTATTGGCCTGCAAATCGGCACCAGTCCATTCACAAAACTGGGTTTGACTGTTACAATCGCAAGACTGACGTCTGACCAACCCCACTGGTCACTGCTTAATGTACTAGGTATCAAACTGTGTAAGTGAAAGCAAGGGGCGGGGCACATGTAAATAGAATACATATGTATGAGCTATTTCCTATATTCTGGCATGTCTCCTTCATGGATACCATAATACTAGCTCGAGGGGCAATAGTCCTACTACTCGACAAGACATAAAAAAATACAAGCTTATATCGCCGGTATATATACGATCTCGTCACTTTCCTCTCTATATTCATCATGCCTCACTCTCTACCTTCATCCCCCAAATCGACACCAAGGGATGGTCGAAATGGCATCACCAAATTTACCAACTGCCGCATCTTGAAAGGAGACAAGCTGCTAGAAGAAGATCTATGGGTCAATTCCGTTACCAGGAAGATTATCCGAAGCCAAGCTGCGTTCTATGATGATTTCATCCTCCCAGATGAGGTCATTGACCTCGGTGGTCGTATCTTATCTCCAGGTATCATCGAGTGCCAGCTCAACGGGGCCTTCGGTTTCAACTTCTCAACCCTTCTCGAGCCTGCTGTATACGCCAAAAAGGTCAAGGAGTTGAACAAGCAGATGGTCAAAACGGGGGTTACATCCTATGTTCCTACCATCACAAGTCAACGGAGCGAACTCTACCAGCGAGTCCTACCGTACCTTGGTCCATCAGGATATCGTCAGATCGCCGAGGACGGAGCAGAATCCCTTGGCGCGCATTGTGAGGGCCCGTTCTTAAGTCCAACTAAAAACGGAGTCCATAATGTAGACGTGATACGGGAAGCTGAGACATTTGCGGATCTAGAAGACTGTTATGGAGCAGAAAACCTCGACCCCGAAGATTTGTACCGTCCTACGCCGATAAAGATGATTACTGCTGCACCAGAGCGGGGACAGATGACGAAACTCATTCCCGAGCTCACTAAACGTGGTATCATCTACTCGATCGGGCACTCGGAAGCTACATACGAACAAGCGTCCGCAGCTGTCGCTGCCGGCGCAACAATGATCACCCATCTTTTCAACGCTATGCGGCCCTTGCACCACCGAAATCCCGGTATCTTTGGCGTTCTAGGTTTGGCAGAAAGCTTACCTCGCCCCTATTTTGGTATCATTGCGGACGGAGAGCACTTACATCCCACAACAATCAAGATTGCCTTCAATGCTCATCCTGACGGGTTCATCCTCGTCACTGACTCTATGCATTTAGTTGGCTTACCGGATGGCGCTTACCAGTGGACTAATGGTGAAAGAGCAAGCCATATCGTAAAGAAGGGCAATAAATTGATACTGGAGGGGACCGATAGAATTGCCGGAAGGTAGGGATCAACCTCTGATATACCAGGCGAGCGGGGACATGGCTAACTAATTTACTAGCTCTATAACATTGATCGAATGCGTTTCTAATTTCCTTAGCTGGTCCGGCGCAACCATACCACAAGCCCTGAAAGCAGTCACGTCGACGCCCGCCGCCATGTTAGGCTTGCAGGGCATCAAGGGGTGTCTTGACGACGGCGCGGATGCGGACTTGGTAGTTTTGTCCGAGAAGCGGTCCGAGAACCGTACTGACCTCATTGTCGACGAGGTGTGGAAGTTCGGTACGAAGGTGTTTAGTCGGTCATGAGGAGAGACCCGCGCGATGGATTGTTGCCGATGATAGATGGGTACGCCTAAAGAGATGAAATTAGTATACTCGGAAGTTACGGAGTCAGGCAGCGTATTTGTACTGGCATAGAATCTTATCATATAACAGAACTAGGTTTACATACGTGGTAGATACAGCTTGATGTTTAGACACCTCTATTAGATAGGAGCTCCTCGTTGCGATACCTTGTCACCTGGGTTTACTAATACAACGAAACATTTCCTTGTTGCTATATTAGTTACTTACGTGATATTTCTACTTTACATTAGGCCGCTTGACAGTTAACTTGAAGGGCTTCTTCAAACGATCCATCGGAGTAATACCGTTTCGTCCAAGAGGTGCTGGTTTCTGAATACCACTGCCTCTCCAACCAACGTTTAGCCCATAGTTCACTGTCGTGGAATGAAAGCTCTTTGCGGGACGTGTTTGCTCTTCCACCGACCCCTCATTTTCATTTGCAATCTCTTCTTTCTCGTCTGCCGGCTGCGGCTTGGCTGGCGAGCTCGAGAAACACGCATATTGTTTTGGTTTTGGCGTTGGTTCTTCCTTTATTATTTGGTTATTCGTGGGGGGCCTACTTGATAACTTGGCGGAGCCCAACTTGTGACTTGCTAAATTAGGCTCAGTGGTAGCATTCTGCTGTATCTGACGAAGTCCCTCCGCTGATGCGGTTAACCGTGATCCTGTACGTTGTCCGTTGCCTCGGGGTAGATGGTAGGGGCGAGGGGGATATCTTGCAGGTTGGTTTGACTTCGGAATTGTTGTGGATATAGTATCATCAGGTTGCTTAGACTTATCATGATTTGTTACACCGTATCCATAACCGATTAAACTTCTTTGAGAAGGAGTCCGGTTTGTTGATGGCCTTTTTGTTCCTGACCCTTGAAGGGCTTTTGTAGGAGCTTTACTCGTCTCAATTTCACCAGCACTCGCATAATGAGCCCCAGCCGTCGTGAAACCCACTTGGGGAGGCAGCTGTGGCACCGTAAATGAAGCAGATTTTTGCATTGTCGTTTCGTACGGAGCAGCCCAGCCATCGACCGATTCCTCAGCAACCTGAGCACTTGTATGATTGATTTTCTGTCGTTTATGCTGTTCGGGCCGCTGAGCGTATCCGCGAGTCTTTACAACGCTAGAAGATTCCTGCGCTTGGCTCGGATCAACTGGGAAGAGATTGTCTTCTACAGCTGCCATCATCGGTACGCCTTTGTAGATGTCAGTTTCTGAGGGGAGGCTTCTGCCTAATATCCTGGCAATTTCTGACATAACTGGACGGTCGAGAGATGGCCCTTTCTTGAGGAAGGTTGAAGATGGGAGATTTTCAATGAAAGGAGAAGCTTGAAGAGCTTCTTTGCTACCGCCGGATGAATATAAGGGACAGCTAAGATATAGTAAGGCCTGGGCTCGAGTCATTGCTACATAGAGAAGGCGTCGCTCTTCCTTGTCGTCGTCGGATCTCATATGCGGTATAGATCCTTTATAGACTGCTGGGATGAAGACGACAGGCCATTCTAGGCCCTTCGCAGCATGTATTGTGGAAACTGTGACTTGAGGCTTCCCATCCTTGTCCTTATCATCAGTCTGCTTGTCGGAGGCTAGCGTAACATTAGCCAAGAATCGTGCTAGTACGTTATCGTCTGACATCTGTTGAGTATCTTCAAGAACTGGCAGCATCTCTTCTTCCGGCTTATCCTGATGTACGAATTCCGTGACAAGGCTCACAAATTCTTGAACGTTCGCCCATCGCAGCTCATACTCGGGTCCATGAGTCTCCTCAAGGTGCTTCTCAAATTGCAGGTCTTTAAGTAGCTGATTGATGATCTCAATCAAATTTACCGGAGTCCCGTCACTCGGTCGCAACTGATTTTGCAGGTTGGTGATTAACTTAATAAGGCTACCGCCAATCTTCTGCTCTGCCTGCTTCCTAATGGTTGTCTTTGCTGTTCGCTCACCTCGACAGTGTTTCCTCAGCAGCTCCCATAGGCTTATAGAGTTGCGTTCAGCTTCTTCCAGCAGCGACCTAGCTGTTACATCACCGATACCACGCTTTGGAACGTTCATGATACGTGCAAGAGCGTCGTTATTATCGGGCTGATATATTACTCGCAAGTAATCTAATATGGTCTTAATCTCAGCCCGCTCGTAGAATTTGAAACCACCTAAGAATCTAGTATCAGCATGAAAGAGAAGGCAAATGAGTATATGTTATGTTTACGTACCGACCATTCGGTAAGCGATACCTTCTCTACCCAGAGCAGATTCAATGTGCCTGGATAATGAGGCAGATCGAAGCAAAATCGCGATGTCATTAGAGTTAATCATATGTCCAGACATTAATTTGATGCGCTTGATCTCCGAGACGATCCAATCCGCCTCCGTCGTAGAGCTTTTTAGCATACGAAGGACTGGCCGTGTACCTTTAGCATGGATTGGTAAGAGAGCTTTCTTATATCTTTCATCATCTTGCTGAATGACTCTCAGGGATACGTCGAGAATGGAACTTGACGACCTATAGTTTTCTTCGAGAGATATCTCGTCGGTACCGGGAAAGTCAGCAAGCAGGCGATGGAAATTCCTTATTTCTGCCGACCGCCAACCATAGATACTTTGATCCGGGTCACCCACTATCGTTATACGTCTATTCTTCTGAGCGAAAAGTTTCATTAATTCATACTGCACTCCGTTTGTATCTTGATATTCGTCGATCAGGACCGTCTCGATATTCCGAACGCAATCGGGGCATTTTTGAAGGAGCTCAACGCAACGGGTAAGAAGATCATCATAATCAAGCAAGTTAGATCGCTCGAGATAAGCCTGGTATTCTTGATAACATTGCTCCAAGGCCTTGGATTCAATGCCATCCCGTTTTTTAGCCTTGCTAGCTGGTTCGTCGGAAGTCCCCTTGGCCTTGCGCTTGCTGATCCAACCACGAGCCATAGCAGGGTCTATCGGAGCATCCAATCTTTTGCAGACGCGCTTGATAATAGCCCTCGAGTCAGAGTCATCTGCGATGCCGAACTTGGGGTCCAGCCCAATACGTTGGCCATAGGTAGCCAGATATTTACGGGCAATGCTATGAAAAGTGCCCAGCACGATCTTCTTTTCGCGACCATTTCCTAGCGCCTGGCCGATACGGATTCTCATCTCGTTGGATGCCTTGACGGTGAAGGTTGCAACGATGACATCGCACGGCCGGATTCCAACATGGTCGATGAGCCAAACGACACGAGAGGTGAGAGTATGAGTCTTACCACTACCCGGACCAGCCAAGATAGCGACGGTAGGGGCACGGGAGCTGACAGCACGAGACTGCGCTTGATTCAGGGATTTGAATAAATCATCGCCCCCGGTGCCCGGCATGGTCGGAGATACTTGCTCATCGGGAAGGTAAAGTTTAGATAAGCAATAACAGAATCCCTTTCGTTCTTCTTTTTTACTTTATTTATCTGTATTTCCTTTCTTGGGGCATATGAGGAACGCGCCTAAAGAGACGCGGACGCGACGGGCTGTTTTTAGTTTGGTTAAAGAGGATTTGATTTTAACAGCTGCAGGCTGCAGATCGCCAGCAGATCGCCAAGTCAGGTCATAAGATTAGGTAAGGATGAAAAGATTGAGCAACTTAGTGATGCACTACTATGTACCTGGCTAGGTACCTAAGAAGTACCTGGGTACCTAGGTTATGACATAAAGTACCACAAAATTGGTGAGTTCCCAATTTGGAGTGATCCCGCACTTAGGTATTTCTCTTCTTGCACCCTTGCATTTTCTGGGTTTCCATCCATCCACCTATCGTCTATCTGCTGAATTGACTTGATCACTGCGTTTATCATCAAACCAACATGAAAGAGGGAGAGGGCACCATATGTTTCTTACTATTAGCCAATCAAAAAGAACAGCCACTAACAAACATGTTTCTCAACCCCCAAGTCACTATGTAAGCCTAATCCAGCCAATCGGCGGGAACAGGAGGCAGGGTGACCTGCAGCAAGCGCAAGGGGAAGAAGAGTCGAATGGTGGGGTGGTTTGGTGATGTCGCTGAAATCCGCACCCAATCAGCTATAAGGCTTAATTCGTCGGCGCTTAAATTCCCTGTCGCTACATTATCCTCCTCCAACCAGATTTGGAAGAACGGCATCGATCACCGCCCTCTACAGATATGAATATGGCAATCTGTCACCCTCACTGGGCCCTTTTTCTGGGGGCTATCATGCATGGAGCCAAGTGCTTGGAGGGGGCCGACGAGTGAGAGGCCAGTTCACACCCAAAGCGCTTGTCTGCTCCTTTAGCATCGTACATTTTGGCCCACTTCGACACACTGCCGAACATCACCAGCCGCTATATACCCTTTGTCCTCCCGACTTTACGTCCTACCTTGTCGGATTTCCATCAGAACGTGTTTCGACAGATCCGCCAGGAGGTTTGACTAAGGAGTTCGGGATACAGTATCTCTCACGACGATCTGGGTCACACACCATGCAACTAGGGCTTTATAGCACGCCGTCCTCGCTTCACTTTGTTTTGCTTCTTCTTTTCCCAACGTTCGCTCCTTTTTGTTCTGCTTCCGTGATACAAGACCTCCAAAGCAACTATTTTGATCCAGCACCAACGCCTGAACAAGGCCCTCCCCTTTCGGCTGGAGCCCTTCGGAGTACATCTTACCTCCCGGCCCAGATTGGTGGCATAGTCGGATCGTATGCCTTTTCGCTCGTTGTAGTCGCTGCTCTTATACTTCTCCTAGCGAAGAAGCGCCGTGAGCATCTTACAGCAGGAGAGGAGGACCTAGAGGGCCAATTCCCATACCAATTCGCTTTCTTACCACCGGGACAAGCTGGCGGTCAGCCTCAGTACGATCTCGATCCACCCAAGTCGCCTGTTAAGAACTTTTCTTACCCAACGCCACCAACACCTTTAAGTGGAAGGAGCCCGATAAGCCCATCGAGCCCTTACATTGTCCCTTCGCTTTATTCTACTAGCACACTCGGCGTGAACCCTTTGGTTGATCCCCGAGTCGTCGCAGCAGATCGCGAGATGGCGCAACAGCAGCTAGAAGAAATGTACAAGCTCGTACTAGAGCAGGAAGCCGCGAAGGAAGCAGGCGTTACCTTGGACCAGCCACCCGCACCTCTCTCCCAGCAGCAAACTCCAAAGCAGGGGATATTGAAGAGAGGCAAAAACAAGCCCGCGAGCCTTGATCTTGCTTCTGATGCAGAAAAGCCACAGTCCCGAGCGTCTTCCATCTTATCCGCTTTCAAATCGCCTCGAAAGAAGAATGTTAAAGGCATTAGTATATCGTCTCCGATTATGACGCCTGTATCGGGCACCTTTCCACGCCAGGAGGAGGAATTAAGAGCAATTCCCCCTCGTTATTATACACCAGCATCTCCGCCCCCAGTTCCGACAGACCAGGCCCCATATATACGGGCAAGCAGGCAGCACGGACCAGTAGCCCCCATCACTCCCCCGGATATTTCCCCGGAGAGTACGCAAAGCATTGACGAACGGCTTGGTCATCTGCGAAGCAATTCACAGTACACCGAACCCGATCCGGTGTCAGCAGTTTCAGAACGGTCTACCGCGCCTCTCGTCGGCCTACCTTCGTCGCCGAAACCCGGTGTCAACCGTTTCCCTTCTCTTCCTGCATCTCCGAAACCCGGGGCGACATTCCCGACTTCACCCGGACCGGAGCAACGGTCCTTCTCGCGACCGAATGCACCTTCAGCCATCCGAACTGGCGGCGCTCTTCCGCTGCGGGCTTACGAGCCTTCGCTCAGCTCACCGTCTGCACAAACCACCAAGCAGACGACGTTCGAAAGGACGCTCCCTCTGTCACCTTCGGGACTTCGGACACCATGGACCGGCGCGCCAGTACCCTACTCACCGTATCAGCCATTCTCGCCTGTAGTTCCTATCACGCCGTCATTGGTTACTAAGGCAGATCGGAAGAGGATGAAGCAACTTCAGCCCAAGACACCAACCATGGAAATGGTTAAGGGTGACGACGAAGTGTGGTAGATACGTATTTGGTGGGATCTTAATGAAATGTTTGGATGGGATTGGTATGATACGGGTTGACAATAGTCTAGGTGTATTGTTTTGGCGTCTTGGATGGACTGTTTACGGTTCAAAAATCTAATGAGTGGCGTAGAGAGGGCTATCTATTTTTCTATTTAAAGCATTTGCTTACCGTTCTATATACCACTTTTGGAATCGAAAGACTCAGTCTATAACTTGACATCATAGTTCCAGCTGTGTGTTTGATTCAGCGGTGTCTGCGCTTGGTTGATTATGGCCGCCTGGCTATATGTAGTATTCCGTCTTAGTATTCTAGCCTTGTTATGACACCTGCTTGGTATTTTGTGATACCTATAGTATATTAGGTGTATGTTTAAATTGCCTATCGTACGAACGTAGGAGTCAGCCTTTAAAGGGGGGAAGGGGAGTTAAACCTGGCAGTTGATTGACGGATTCTAAGCGGTTCTCAAGCACTTCATTATATTATCTATGGCGACGCCTGGGACGACTTGCCTTGTTTCGCTGATAACCTGATTTTGAAGTTGTACCAAAAACTCGGACTATTAATCAATAGAAATAATATGATCTTTAATATTCACTAAAAAATCGTGAGCAGCCACCCGTTGATAACAAGGTCAAGCTATGTTAATTCTACGTATCTTACCTCATCAGGTCGTCACAAGGGCCTCTGTATGTTGTGTACGTAATTGCATGTACCTAGGTAGGTAGCGGTACCTACGGGCGTAATTTGTATTCGTTACACAATTCTTATAGGGTCGGTAGCCGCTATACCAAAATGAGGAAAGAACCTACGGAAAGTGGCTGATTCACTTATTTACTTCGAGACTTACCAGTGGCTAGTGACACGTAGTCCCACAGTTTCCCATAAGTCCCCACCAATAGAGCAGGCCGAAGATCTTCCAAAGCAGGTTCAGCCAGGTTCAGCCGGGTTTGTGAAGGAAGGCAAGACCCGTTTGGAGGGTCCAAGCGTCTCGATTAAGCCCGATCGATTTTACTTAGGTACAATTGGACCTCGCTACAAGGTACTGTACTGTCGCTACAGCTATATACATTAGTACGCTAGGTACATATTTCCCATCAATCCTCCCGTCCATCGTATGATTCTTCCAAGCCTCCATCGAGAAATCCCCCGTTTTTTTTTCTTTTTCCATTCTCGCAATAGGATTTTTTTCGCGCCTTGTCAACACGCCCGCCCTATCGGATCCTAAGATCTCGGAAAAAGCAAATCTCTAATCTTGTCGTGTGCGTGCGACAGGAGTTGCCCACCAACACTGGTTCGAGTTCCAAGGTAATAAGATAAAAGATAATCTAATACCTCGCCTTACTTTAAGCTATTTCCTTTGCGGGGGTTACAGTGGAAGAAGGGCAACGAAGGACGTTGGTTTAGCAGAAATCAAAAGACGTCCACTCTAGACAACCATACCAGAAACCTCGCGTACCAGTTAACCTACCTTCTACTTGGCCTACCGCCTACCTAACCTTGGTACTTACCTACCTTAATAACCTTGGGTAGATTTTATTCCCCCCCCCCCCTCTTAAAGTGCTTGTTTTTTTCTTCTTCTTAATAATAATAACGGGGGCCTTGGCGTCGCAAAGCAAGCTTTTCCCGTCTTTTCCCATTTTGCATTTCCGCATTCTTGCTTGTCCCGTTTCAACCCCGAACAACAATCTTTCGTCGAACAAGAAAGTTTCCCCTGTGTCTACAGTCCACTGTCTACATCATTTTTGTCGCCTTCCCCATCCAGGCTTTATATACCCTCAAGATCAATTGCGTGAGCCAACCAACCGACCCCTTTTCATATTCATCCCTCGGTGCCAGACGGGCACTATACTATTCCAGGCCGTACGATCAGATCATCCCAACGACAATACCCCCCTGGTCATTTCCCGCCATATGCAAACCCCCTCCTTTCGCTTGTCTTGACCTGGACAAGAGCGGCTGAAGGACTTGCTGTGGTGCCTGCTGATGTCGAACCACACCTGCATCTTATGATCGTACCAGTACCAGTGCCACCATGACGGACCAGCAAGAGCCTTCTGATCTCTTTGGTCTTGACGACCCAAACGGCCCGTATTACCAAGATAGCAATAATCCAAGTAATGGGGACGCAACGCTGACCGACTCCAGCACCAGCAATCAGCAATTCTATACTGAGCCTAATTGGGCCTTCCAAGACACACCTCCCTACGACAATTATGATACTAATGGATTTTACCAAGACGAGTGGAATATAGGCCAGCAGCCCGAACTAGATCATGGCCTCGCTCCGCAGCCGCCGCCGCCGCCGCCGCAACAGCAGCAGCAACAACAGCAACAACTGCCTGCTGCCATGGCTCCGTCCTCTATGCCACCCGGTCCGTCGAATCCACTGCCGACCGTAGGTCCGATGGTGAATACGACAACGCTGCAGATCCGACCGAACGGCGTCGGTTCAAGGAGCCTTACTGAAGAGCAGCGCCAAAAACTGCAGAATATTGCCATGCCAGCCCAACTTCACTACCGTTCTCCCAAGAGCGAAGCCAGTCCCGATTCTGTCGGCCCGGTGTACAAGTCATCCTCCATATCCTCGCCCGAGGGTCAGAGCCTCTCCTCCAAGTCAAATAGTCGCAAGCGAAAGTCGTCGGTAGAGCTTGACGATGACGACGACGACGATCTTGATAGCCACCAGCCAGTGAAAAAGACGGCTCACAACATGATCGAGAAAAGATACCGCACTAATCTCAATGATAAGATAGCAGCTCTGAGAGATAGTGTACCAAGTCTACGTATCATGTCGAAGAGCGCGAGGGGCGAGGATACCACTGAAGACAGAGAAGAGTTGCATGGCTTGACGCCCGCGCACAAGCTCAATAAAGCCACGGTTCGTCCATCCCAGTTTTTCACATAGCAAGCATTGTAAGCACTAAACTTTGTACTATAGGTTCTAAGCAAAGCTACCGAGTATATTCGGCATCTGGAGAAAAGAAACCTTCGACTCGTCGATGAGAACTCGGCCATGCAGCAGCGGATTGCTGCCTTCGAGAAGCTCTTCATGGCCGGTGCGATGAACGGCGCAGTCAGTCCTTTACAGCAAACAACGCCTTCCACGCCCATACAATACTCACAAGAGTCTAATGGATACGCGAACCCGGCCATGGGCACGTCAAGCCAGGCCGACCCACAGGGTATGATACAGGTACCTGATGATATGAAGCGTATCATTGCTGCCCAGCTGGCGACAGGTCAGCCGTATCCGGTGCCACCAAGGCCTTTCGGCGGCAACCCCAATCCTAATTTGATACGCCAACAGCAGATCCAACAGCAACATCACATGCAAGCAAGGGGTTGGCAGAATGCTGGCCCCTATTTTGGAAAATTGATGGTCGGCTCCCTGGCCGGATTGATGCTTCTTGAGGCTGTTCGGGAGAATGAGCAAAACAACGAGACGCCAGAAGGACGCGGCCTCTTTGCTGTTCCCATACACCTCCTCGGCTTACTTACATCCTCATTAAATATCGACTTCATGGGCTATCATGTTCAGGGCGCGCAGGTATTATATTCTATCAGGGTTGCATTGTTACTTTGTAGTATTTGGTGGGCTGTCTTTCCCTCACTCATGGAGCGCAGACCATCAAGCGTGCAGGGCTCCAAACAACAAAAACAGGCTTCACTAAAAGCGGTACCGTCTTTGGCATCACCTATCCACGTCCGTCGTCAAGCATGGCTCACAGCCATCCAGACAGTCTGGGTTCCACGGCACAATTTCTTCCTCGAGGCTGCCGCGCTTGGTCTCAAAACACTGAAGCTGAGCCTCAGAAATCTGATCGGCATTCATGGTTATCAGATGTTAACAGGTCTGACGGAAGACGAAGAGCTTGCCCGTGTTAAAGCATGGGCAATAGCCCTAGATGCTCAGTTGGCTGGAGGAGATGTCGAGATCAGCAAGAGCCGACTTACTCTAACCCTGCTTGCTTCTGGAACTCTTCCCACTACTCCACTTCGATTGATGCTTAAGGCGCTCCACATCCGAGTTCTGTTGTGGGAAGTTGGCCTCTCTGGCATACAGCTTGGCATATTCAATACCTTTGCATCAAAATTGGCTCGATCCAAATGGAACGAAGCGAAACAACTACATAGACTCCTTACGCAGCTTCGCCGCGGTGGCCAGGAGCAATCTGATGACGAGTTACCCGACCACTTAGCTGCTTTGCTTGAGCAGGACTGTGATGTAGTCTTGAATCCGAATATCGTTCAAAGGGCCCATAATCTAGCCTGGAACCGACCTACCGATTATAATGCTATCGGAATCATTGACGGTATAGATACTGTAGTAGATGATTTGGCAGTCCGCTCGCCGATGGACGCTGTTGCGGCCTGGTGGTCAAATATGACATTGCAAAACGCTCTTACAAATAGCCTTCTAGCGCAAGAGGACGAAGCGGATACGATCCAACAAGTCGAGGACGATGTGTCTCTGGCGATTAGGACCGCCCCGATTGGATCTATTGCTCAAAACCGTGCTTTAGTCGCACGTGCGCTGCTCTTTGAGGAGAAACGAAATATCAACATTATGGCTGCATTGCAAGCCATTGGGCCAGTGACACCGGTTCTCTCTTCTAGTAGTTCCCCAGGCAGCCCTACCCGCACTGCGCCATCATCACCTACTCCTATTAAGGTGCTCCCGTCTTCACTTGTTATGACTACCGAGATGCGTACTTCTCTTTTATGCGCGATGGCTATCGCACACCTTCAAAAATTCTCCCCACCTGAGGAGCCAGTTGATATCTACGGTGTAATTGACCAAATCCACCCAATAAATGATATGGGATTGCTCGGTTACACCGCTACCTTCAAATTAATGGACCGGCTTGCTAGCCATGAATTTGCTGCGGAAGCGTGCGCCGACACCCTAGAGCGTCTTTCAGGTACACTACGGATATGGACTGGGAAAGATTGTGGGCTCGAGCCAGAAGTCCGGCATCAAATGATTGAACGATGCTTGACTGTAACCCGCGGTGTTGTGGGGATGGGTATCGACACAGATACCGGCTATGGTAGTAGTAAGTGTTATCCCTCTCTAATCTATCAGGTACCTTTTATTTGGTTGTTATTAGGTCGCGCAAGGCGTTTCTGGCCAAAGTTTTACATATCAGGCGTCGAGCAGCATCTAACTCGAGCGGTGCTCAGATATATTATGAAACGAGAGCTAACCTAATTTACAGTGAGCGAAAGCGATGACGACCATGATGTATCAACTGACTTCTCAACCGAAACGGATGTCATAGCGACACCAATTCCTGCTGCCATCGACTCGGATGTTGCGTAGGGTTCCCCTCCCTGACTGATTTCGGTTTTGTATTCGAGAGGTAATTGCCAGAGAGCTTAGCTTTATAAAAGTTTGTCTATCTCGGTTTTGGTAGCGGAAGCCACGTATTGACGATGTTGACGATCATTGACCAGAAGTGGCCTTTGGCACTTATATATTATACTAACATGATTACCTCGTTACATTTATAATTGGGTTGTTTTGTCATCATGTGCGGGTTCGGTGCAATTCATGAGGGATAAGGACCGGCCTCAAAAGCTTCGGGGCGTTCAGGGAAACACGGAATTATGCTTACGGTCCTTTAATGGTAGAATGGACAGAGTAGGAGCAAATGTCGGCGCGTCGTTGGAAGTGACAGAATAGGAACTAAAAGGGCTGGGGCAGCTTTTATTTATGCATTCGAGGGCGCCTTTCGGAAGCGCCGAAAATACCAAAATAGTATATAATTCATGCCATGCGAGAGCTATTAGCCACATCGCCCATGTATCATTTACCACCCAAGTTAAGATGCTCTATATCCTTGGTTAGCACGCGTACATCTGGCATATGTTAGAACGGAGACATACCACGACGAGAGCAAAGGCTCGATGATATATGTAAACATCATGGTATTTAACCTTAGGTACCTAGCCTAGGTTAGGTGTACCTGTATATAGCTAGCTCTCTAGAGAATACCATTCCCATGGTTGCCAAACCCGACTCAAGCTAGGCTTGCTCACTCAACCCAAGCATTGCCCTTGCAAGAGCTGCTTTCTTAACAGGAGGTATTCTTGTGATCTTGTGCCTAATGAAATCAATCCATAACCTTTAAGGGCTTGGGATATTCTTGCGGCTTCGAGGCTAGATGATTAGACGTATCTGCGCCTTACTGCTACATAAGAACCGTCCGGGAAACGACCTCAATTCAACTTTAGATCTTATTTATACCTACCTATGCTAGGTACGTACCTAATGTATGTATTCCGTACGGTAGGTAGATTACCTACCTACCTCCTAGGTACCTGAAGGATTGCTGACATCCCGGTGATCCGGTACGTGGAAACCAGTTATGTATAGGCATTCGAGCCCCGTGCGCTACCGTAGCAAAGGCTACTCGGAACCCCTTTTCCGATATTCAACAGATACCTTCGCGCCTCGTAACCCCATCTGGGTGCCTACAAGTGGATCATCTCTACACGTCTACTCGTATCCGAAAGCGAGATGAAAAAAGAAAAAAAGAAAAAAGAGCTTCTACCTGTTGACTCCATCGACAAGTAAACCAACCGTTCTTGCAAAACCCCACGAATTCACTTGTCTGGAGACAGAAGGAGGGTTACAATGGGATATACTACTACTCTTATACCTATCTAGGTACCTAAGGTATGCTATGCATGGGGGAGGGGGCACGAGTTTCTCGTGGTCTTACTCAGCACTTTCTATATCGACACGGATCCATTGAACCTGGATGGATGGGTTCGAGGAATGGCAGATCCCTCTTATCTAATACGTGTATTTTTTTGTGCGTAAGCCAGGCCCAGGAAGCTGGCCCGCACGTTTCTGAAGCTCACGAAGCCGGTTCTTGGGTGAAAAGAATTGCTTGCAAGGATCGGGTTAGCTTTCGCCTCTTTCTCCCCATTCCCCTTTTCCTCTCCACCCCCCCTTTCCTTCGCCTAGGTACATAGGGTAACTCGACTGCGTCGATATTGGTTGGGTAGATGCGAGTTTGACCCCCCAGTTGTGTATGTATCAATCAAGTTGAACGTGAAGCGAGCCAGCAGCATGTACCGTGTGTATTTCAGACAGGTAATCCACCATCCACCATTTACCATCCACCCCCTAAAAAGCCTGCACGAGCGGAAGAGACATGCCGAAGGTCCTAGGACTCGCATTCGCCAGTTATTTAAGGGAACGTACGCACGCTTGCTCCAGCCGCGGTGGGAACTCGGTACTGAAAGCTTGCCTGCAAACGGGTTAGCTGCCTACCTAGGTAGCTAATGTAGCTCGTTTGATCGGCTACATCTACCTTAACGAACCTCACAGCCTCCTGACCCCAGCGGAACAGCCCCCAGTTCCGCTGTCACTTTCCATGTGGATTTGGCACGGTAAGAACCTTAGCTGTGTATACCCTTGGTGCAGGTAAGGTCATGCATGTAGACGTGCGCGTGTGGCAACCTGTAGAGACCGGGCTCGTCTCAACGCGAGCAAGCTTCCGTTCCTGGTCAGCCCAACGGTCTGCACCTAACGTTGGGTATCTGCCGGCTTTGTCGCCGTCCCAGCTAGTTGCTAATTCATCCCCACCTAGCCCCCGTACACTGTCCTAGATAGATATCAACAAGAGCCTAGGTACCTACATAGTAGGTGCGGCGTGGTAGTAGTAAGGCAGGATAGGAAGAAAAGAGATAATTCCACCTCGATAGCTATGGCAGAGACTAAGAGGTCGACCTCGGCGTTATCAACCCCCCTTTGACGGTCATATGACTGTTCTCAAGACGCAAGACATGCATTCGCGAGTAAGCTCCGAGTCCCTTAGTTTGAATGTGCCGTGTCACTATAGCAGTGCTAAAGAATGGCATGCTAACGTTCGGGACATTAGGCTTATAAGGCCGTTGCCACTCCCAGCAGACCCTGCCGACAATAATGCATATTATCCATATGCGGGCACCTGCAGGATCTAGACTGAGAAGGCTCTCCCTTCTTACCAAGGAACTTTTGCGTAGGGCTCAGGGAATCCCAAACTTTCTTGCTGTGAAAGATCTGCAGGCTGCTGCTTGGGGTATTGGAAATTTCGATTGCGTCCTTTTATCAATTTTTGTTAGCTAGCCGAACCAATAGGTTAGGAATGGCGTAGCACGCCAGACGCCTTTAACGGATCAGCTGGGTCGAAAGGATTCGCAGGGTAGCTGGTGAGCGAATCTAGACGAATATATCCGTAAGGCGTCACACCCCCACACTATCTTTGACTACCGAAAGATGGAAGCAATCTGCAGTTTTACTTACTCGAGGCTCTATTGCCTACTGCTCATTGACGGCAGAATACGGTCTAAAGAAAGGGTGTTCTAGATTGGATGATAGTCTGCCTTAATGCATACAGGGATCTAGCATAGACTGGCACATTAACTCTCATGGAAGTTGCTTGGAGGGATGACGTTCTCCTCTTATTATGGAAAACCAAGGAATAGTGTAGCATCATATATCCTAAGCTCTATCTAAGACCCCCCTTGTGAAGTGAAACAGCACACCGGACAGCCCTGTCAACTATCTTCGCTCTTCACCATTATCGCGTCTAGAATTCAACCTCCTTCTAAGGATCGTGCCTTACGCCTTAATCTTCTGACATGCTCTCGGCTCTGATGGCTGCGATATAGTTGAGATCCAGCCTAAAGGGGCCCTGCTGTTCGCCAAAGAAGCTACCAGTGTAGTAGGTACTTAGCAATGCAAGTCGAAAATAAAACGTCAGGGAAAAAAAAGAAAAAGAAAAAGAGAGGGTGGGTGTATGGGCACGGCACGAACCTTCTCATCATGATGCTTATCCGTTTGATATGATCCAACCGCAAAGGTGCAGCATCCGGCTTCGGTTTCCCTCGATAGGTGGGTTTGAAGTCAGCCCAGGAGGCCGTCACCTCGGTCTCGCTGCCGGGCACAAAGTCGTACTCCCAACTGACGGTGCTCTCCTCCCTGCCGTCCGGGCGCTTGGGCGGGGTGTCATCTTTGAGGACGAGCGTGTACTTCTTGCCGTCGCTCTTAGCTACGCCGAGGCTCAGGCCTTGGTATACGAGCAGGTCCCAAGACTGCGGATCGACCGTCCGCTGGGACGCAAACCCGGCGCCGCCGAGCGCTGTGATATCCAGGTCCCCGCTGAAGGTAGCTACGGCGGAGTCGGCAGAACATACCAACAAGCTACGGCTTTTACCGCCGCGCACCCGGTCATCAGATGGGCTCCAGGCGTGCTCGTTCCATAACCTATTTACGAGCGTCAGTATGAATTGAGAAAAGGGGGAGAAGGGGGGGAGAGGGGGGTATATAAGAGGTATGCCGCCTGGCACCGACAACTTACGTATATCCCCCGAAAAGGTAGAATTTATTAGGATGCTCATCCATCACTATCGGCTTCTTCTCTTCGTTATATATATATAAGCTATAGGTAAAGAAAGGGACGTGGTGTTTCTTAACCAAACCCACCTAGACAAAACTTTCGACGCTTTAAAGCCGCAACGACAAGCAATCGTGAGCTAATGACCGGTCGTCATTACACTGGGGCTCAAGAACGAGGTCAGTGCACAACACCGTCGTCGTCGTCTTAAGCCTAGGTGGACTTTTGTCTCACAACCTAATCTGGATCTGGGTAGTGGTTATACCAATGCGGCAAGGTTAGCACTTCACGTAGCGTACGTAGCGCAGCGTACGTTATCTACTACCTAAGATAGCTTCTCGCTTTTCCTTGGTATTTTCTCGTTTCGCGGAGGTAGCCTTTAGCCGAGTTGTATGTAGGTGTTAGAGCCGAGGAACGTAAGTACGGATGAAGGGTGAAAAGAAAAGAATAATTATATTAAAATAAGTATGCTACAACGTTAGGTAGGCATTGTATTACCTGGTTCGTACAACTTTGCCTAATTAAGATATGTATAGGTAGGTATGTATAAACGTATGAAATTGTATATACCTCTACTATCTTACTTAGGTACCAGGTAGGAGGTAGTGTAAGATAGCATACCTAAGCATTAAGGTATGTAGTAACGGTTACATTAGGTATGGAATTTAGGTGGTTACATCATAATGCAATTTATGTAATCATTGCAAATACCCACCGTATAGAGTTGTTAAGTACTAGGTAGTACCTAGTAGTAAGTTAATTAGGAGGTACTGAAGGTAATCCAAGGAACCTGTAGGTTATTAGGTAGAATTGAAAATTGGAATTTAAAAATCTAACAAACAACTTTTCTTTTATACCTTAGGTACCTTCCTTTTATAGGTACCTTACCTTTGACGGGAACCGGTCCCGATAAAACTAGAATCCGACGCGGACGTTGCAATGCGCGAGGTTTGGAAACGCGCGTAAAAACACTCGGAGCTAACACCCTGGCTCGGGCCACGAGCTGTATGATTACGTCGTACAGCTGACGGGGGATGGTGGATAACAAGTTGCAGCAATGGTCGCAGTGAAGTGGTAAACTGTGCCGCGCATCGTCTAGGCGGATGCGACCTGAGATAGAAAAAAAAAAAAAAAGATCGCCCAGATTTATTGTCACCTCTGCTCAATAAACTCCGAATAGCTTCTAACACCTCTTATATGGCTTATCGTCTACAGCCTAACCCGTCGTAACTTAAAAGGGAGACGAATTAAGGTAGCAATGGAAACTCCAGAAATACCAAATATGAAGAAATATTTGCATTTCCTACATAGTAAACTGACATGTTGATGCCAATCTCCTTCCGTTCGCCAATAATCTTCCTTAAGCTCGAGAGAGCCCTTTGTGTATATCTAAGGTCATGTGAAAATCCCGTCAAAATAACACCGTGCTGCACCTGGATATCCCTAAACCAACTTATATGCACCATAGAGACGAGCCCTTCGTCTCCACGTAAGATATCTTGCCCCGGCCCCCAGCCACGTCCAAGATAAAATCATAGTCCATTCGTCCATCCGTCCATATTTCCCTATTCTCGTCCCATGCATTCGTGCTTCCCATCATCATTCTCCCGTCATCATTCCCATCACCCTAGCTAGCTAGCTATGAGCTATTAGCGATGTTGCCCGAGGCCGGGAGACCCTGGCATCGAGAGAGGTGTTGTCGGGTAGTCATAACCGGACTCTGAGCAGTTTGCCGAGTGTTCGTACGAGTGTGAAAGCGGTGGAGTCTAGCAACACCGATCAGCTACGGGGTTCTCGGCGGGAGTAAGCGCGCACATGACTCACATGAGGGTTGGAGTGGTCGTACGAGTTTTGGCCGTGAACTTCCATCCCGGGTACAAAGCCGTAGTTCATGTACGGAGACATGGATTCCTCTGGGTATGTTTCCCTCTTGATAGCATCGTGGAAGTGCGTCATGGGAGGAAGCGTGCAGGGGACGGTCGTAGCTATGTAACTGGGATAGCCTTCGCCGGTAGTAATTGGGTGGTGGTAAGGCTGGGCCGAGTTGTACGGAGGTAGAGCCATCTCGTCGGGCGGAGGATACGATGAGTAGGGCATGAACGGGGGCGTGTGAGACCGCTCTCGGTCATCATACGCCTGGCTAAATATTATCTCGTCGTCATGGTTCATTGGAGGCGTGAATTGGGGCTGTACGGCCTTGTGCGGAGCTGCGCTGGGCTTCTGTGTCTTGGAAGAGTTTGTTTTCTTGGTATTCCGGGTGCTGCCAGACTGCGACTGCGACTGCGACTGCTTGTCACTTCCCGTAGGAGAAGATGCGTCGTCCGAGGTACCGGCGCGCCTCTCGAGGTCTTCCAGACGCCTCTTGAGCTTCTTGCCTAGAGAAACTGTTAGGCTACTCCGTCATTGCTAAGAACAAGTGAATCTGGTCATAACCTACGGTAGTTACGTTGGGCAATTCGGTTCTGTATCCTCCTGCGTTCGGCAAGGTCCGATATCTTGGTCCAATCCTCATCAGGGTTGGCCGAGCTGGAGAATGCGCTGCTGGTCCCGTGCGCCGAGTACTGCCTCGGCGCCGGCGCTGGTGGATATGCGTATTGGTGTTGCGGCATAGCGTACATTGACATTGCTAAGTCTATATATCCCGTAGCCGACTGTGATATTACTATATGACGACGTTGAATAAGTGATAGATAGTGTGTGAGATGAGACGGTTAAGCTTCGACGGTAGCCCGATGTTGATTACTTCAAAACTAAGTTGTTGTCGAACCGAGATGGTGGGACACATGAACTTTCTGAAGCGGGAGGAAGGAATCAAATATATAGAAGTAGTAGAAGTAGTAGTCCTTTCAGCCATGGTCCATAGAAGCCGTGTTCGAGATAGAGAGGATTGTAGCCCCCCCCCCGTCCCCCATGCATCTGACAAGGCAGGCCTCAGCAATGTGAGTACCTGAAAAGCCTAGATACATTACATGTGTGGGCATGTACGTAGATAGGTACATCAGGTACGTGAATACGTAAATACGTAAGTACGTGTTGTATACAGAGGTACGCATCTTCGAGCATGGGTGCTAACCTTCGACAGGCATCTGATTGCGATGCACCTGATGCATTCCGCTCTTTCGATACAACGTCGAGTTGGAAGTTGGGGGGGTAGTGAAGTCTCTTCTGGGGCCAATGCGAGAAGGGCAGAGCAGCGCCTCAATCTGAAGGAAGAAGTAGCGGGCGATCCATGGGCTGGAGTACGGTAAAAAAACAAATACTCGCACGAGTGAGCAAGGGTTCAGGGAGCAGGGGGCGGGGGGAGGGGGGAGGGGGTTTAGATAGAATTCTTCTTGGGGAGGGTGTGGAAAGTAGAAAGCAGAAAGTAGAAAATAGAAAATAGAAAATGGAGTTTATAGAAAGTAACTACATGCAAGTAGCTAAAGTACCTAGCTAAAGTACCTACTTGATTACATATTCAGATACACTAGCTGGCACTGGGCAGCATGGTCGCAGGGATCTTTGAACAGCTGCTCCTAGGCTTTACGATACATAGTATGTATTTACGCGATATTTCCATTCAAGTTGTAGAAGCATAGGCGGAGTTCCCTAATTTTGCCCGAATTTTGCTGTCTACATAGTACCGAAGCAGAACGGACAAGGTCACAGAAGTACCACATGTATTCCGCGTACCTAGGTACCGCGCAACTCAAGTAAAAGCAGCGATACCTATATGTAGTTTTTTTTTCCCTCTTTCTAATTCTCCACACCTCCAGCAACCCGACAACTCGTAGGGCTGGCTCTAAAGATATCGGCGATATTAGGTTATTCGCCATATTCAGCAGTTAACTCGACAATGGATCTTACCAGTAAAACTAGTTACCTATTAATTGAGCTTCGAGGCAATACCGCAGATACGGTAGATACGGGCCACGGCTACAGCCACGCGAATTGAGCCCAACAAAATCAGATTGTTCTAGTTATGCGAAACTAATTGTTTAATACATTAGTATCTCTGCGATGCAGCAGATGGCAGGCTTGTAATTTACTACCGCTCAACTAAAGGGAAGCTGAGCTAGCGCTTTGGGGGCTTAACAAGGCAGGGCAGAGAAAGACAGGGCAGGGGGTCTTTTATTTTCCCTAATCATGTCGCAGCCCAGCACGTTTCTGGTGTTTCGGTGCGTTAGCTACCTGTATGAGCCTAGGTATCTTAATTGCGTACTCTGACCACTCGTAGGGGAGCTTTGCGCGGGATAAGTCCTAAGACCGTGGCTATCGCTCAACTGTCGACCTTTATTTGACATAGGTACGTTAACCAATTTCAGAATTGGAATTTGTGTCAATGTATGTGTCATCGAATAGCCACATGCGAGATGACAGTGCTGGGCTATGATGCAAATTTGAAAAATAAAAAATAATAGTAATATCCGCCATTTTTCAATAGCCATACTCCGCGCAGAATTCAGTCCCAGGAATGATAAGCAAAGAACATTTCTAATGCACATGATTGAAGATTCATGCAGAGACTCTGACACCGCTATCACTTACCACCAGGTGCCCCTACCACTACCCCTACTACTGTGATTATGACTATGGCTACCTATGACTATCGTGCACACGGGAAAGACAAGTCCTATGTAAGTAGGGATACGAAACATCCGTAAAATTATCCAACCAAAGGAACGCACTAAGGACAATCCATCAATCCAAACTCGTGGCTAGTAATTCCAAATCGCCAAGGGAACGCATACGGTGCCCAGTCCCTCAAGTCCTTCGAGAAGGACGTATGGAAGGGGGCTTAGACAACACGGGAAAGCCTCCTCTCTTTCGGGAAAAGTCTCGTCGGAATGACGCCAAGCGATTAGATCTGGGAAGGCCAAAAGAGGCGAGCGTAAGACATCTTTACGTAAAGCGGTAAAAGTGATACGCGGTAAAGGGGTTGGATTTTAGTTTTCTGTCTTGGCCTCTCCTGGAAGTCCGACTTGTTAACATAAAAAAAAAAAAAAAAAAAAAAGAAGGCTAACAACCATCTGATTCACACGTGCCTTATAAGACTTCTATTTTTGGCTTCGATCCATTACAAAGCCACTTCAGAGATTTTCATTGGTTACCAATTACCGCCTCTTAGGGCTGTTGGTCAAACTTCTCGAATTGTTCTACCTTAGGTACGTTACGATATACCGGGGACTACTACTAGGTAGTAGTGAAACAGTTCCGTGTGCGTCCATTTCTTATTCTTAGAGACATGCTGGGGACATGCTGATAAGAAGTATGCCCGGTATACCGTAACTTCCTGGGAGAGAAGGATTCAGCCTTGATCCGACAAGTCCATCTGTACACCTTTGAAAAGAGAAATGAGAAGACTTCTTCCGTAGGATTATTCGGCAGGACAGATCGTGTACCCCACAAACCTCAACATTGACAAATCATTTAATTTGTTCAAATTGTTACAGGTAGACAGTCCTAGGTAATGAGGTGAAAATTCCAAATTAGGGATCATTTGCTTATGACTCAAAATCATCGGTATCGGTATGTCCTGTTTGAGGTCTGTTTCTAAACTCTACCACGCACAGTCGTCTTATGCACTTACACCTCAGTCGGGGAGGCCGGAGAAC